TGTTATTAATTTTTATTGGAGCATAGTTGCTTTACAATACTGTGTTAGTTTCTGCTGTACAAAGTGAATCAGTTAAATATATACATATCATATATATATATATATATATATATATATATATATATATCCACTCTTCTTTGGATTCCCTTCCCACTTAGATCATCACAGAGCATTCAGTAGAGATTCCTGTGCTATACAGTAGGTTCTCATTAGTTATGCATTTATATATAATAGTGTGTATATGGAGATACACAATCTCATACACAATTCCCAGTTTCCCAATTCATCCCACCCCTATTTCCTCCACTGGTAACCACAAGATGGTTTTCTACATCTGTGACTCTATTTCTGCCTTGCAAATAAGTTCATCTGTAAGTCTGTACCATTTTTTAAAGTCCACTATAAGTGATATTATACAGTATTTGAGGTTTCTCAGGTGGCTCAGTGGTAAAGAATCTGCCTGCTAATGCAGGAGACGTGGGAGAGGCAGATTTGATCCCTAGTTTAAAAAGATCCCCTGGCGTCGGAAATGGCAACCCACTCCAATATTCTTGCCTGGAAAATTCCATGGACAGAGGAGCCTGGCAGGCAATTCATGGGGTTGCAAACAGTCGGGCATGACTGAGTTCACATATTTGCCTTTCTCTGGCTGTATGACAATCTGTATGTCATACTGACTGTATGACTCTATGACTGTATGACTCTAGGTCCATCCTGTCACTACAGGTGGCATTATTTCATTCCTTTCTGTGACTGAGTAATATTCCATTGTATGTATGTACCACATCTTTATCCACTCCTCATTTAATGGACATTTAGGTTGCTTGCATGTCCTGGCTATTGTAAAACAGTGCTTCAGTGAATATTGGGGTGCATGCATCCTTTTGAATTATTTTTTTCTGTATATATGCCCAAGAGTGGGATTGTTGGATTATATGGTAACTTTATTTATTTATTTTTTTTAAGAATCTCCATACTGTTCTCCATAGTGGCAGTATCAATTCACATTTCCACCAACAAGGTAGGAGGGTTCCCTTTTCTCTATACACTTTCCAGCATTTATTATTTGTATATCTTTTAATGAAATCTATTCTGACTGGTGTGAGGTGATACCTCATTGTATTAATAGTTTTGTTCTGTATTTCTCTAAAAATTAGTGATATTGAGTATCTTTTCATGTGTTTTTTTGCCATCTGTATGTCTTCTCTCTCCAAGCATTTCTTATTGTACAAATTTAATGCCCTTTCCATCTTAACTAAGCATTTACCAGACATTGTGGGTGTAACTTTTGCATTTTGAAGTGTGATAGCAAAACCAGCACAAATTTCTTTTTCCTTCTTCACAATTTCACAGACAGATTTGTTTCTACCTTAGATCTCAGCAATCTCAGCATATGATTTTTTTCTGCTTATTAAGTCAAGTACTTTCCCATTTTCACCTAAAGGAAGTGCTTTATGGCTTCTCTTTGGCATACCCAAATTGCCAGCATTGTTACTCCTGTGTTTGGGGCCATTTTTAAGTAAACCAAAGGCTCCTTGAACACAGCACTGTGATACCTTGACAACCCATCTGATAACCAAGGTGGCTACTAGGTGACTGATGGACAGGATGTACTGGACAAAGGGATGATTCTGAGCAGGAGGGAGAAGGACAGCAGATTTCATCACACCACTCAGAACAGTGCACAATTTAAAACTTGTGACTTATTTATTTCTGGAATTTTCAATATAATGTTCTTAGATCTTAGGTAGCAGAATCCATGTAAAGTGAAAATATGGATAAGATGGGACCACTGTAATCAAGCTTCTCTATTTTATAAACTGCCAAGGTAACAGGCAGCTGGTTGAAGAAGTATGTTCCCACTTTAGGAAATCTGAGGTACTAAGAGAAAAGGTAGTACCACATAGTATCAGAAATAACATCACCAAGCAGTAGAAGTGCAGCATTCATGATTATGTCTGTATATTCCCATGGGAAGGTCTGCTTTGTCATATTACCTCTAAGATACTGAACATTCGTGGCTTTGGGGATTGATTCTTTAGCTCAGTGCAGTAGTTACTCTTACATCCTGTGTGGTTTCTGAAGAAAGCTATTGTTGTTCAGTCACTAAGTGGTGTCTGATCACTCGAATGTAGACCCTATGGACTACAGCCCACCAGGCTCCCCTGTCTCCCACATCTCCCAGAAGTTATTCAAATTCATGTCCATTGACTGATGCTATCTAACCGTCTCATCCTCTGCTGCCTCTTTCTCCTGACCTCAATCTTTTCTAGCATCATGCTTTTTCCATGAGTCAGCTCTTCGCACCAGGTGGCCAAAGTATTGGAGCTTCAGAATCAGTCCTTCCAATGAATATTCAAGGTTGATTTCCTTTGGGACTGACTGGTTTGACTTCCTTGCAGTCCAAGGGACTCTCAAGAGTCTTCTACAACACCACAATTCAAAAGAATAAATTCTTCTGTGTTCAGCATTTTTTATGATACAATTCTTATAGCCGTACACGATTACTGTAAAAACCATATCTTTGACTATACAGACCTTTGTTGGCAAACTGATTCCAATACTGATTTGGAAGAAAGCCTTCCAAAGGTCTATCTTTTGGAAGATAGGCCTTCCAAATCAGTGTTCCTGACTTGTACTATGAAATCCTCCTCAGAAGCAGTATTATATTTTAATATTGACACAACACTTGAGCTGCAAAATGCATCAGCCATTATATAATGTCTGGCTAAGTTAATATAACTATTTTTGCAGTGAAAATTGATACCTCAGTTTCATTAAACTAAATGTTCTCATCCTTTTCATATACCACCTCTTCATCTGGATCTGTTAGAGAGTTGACATTATGCTACCACATTTTCAGATTTCTTGTTAAAATATATTTGAATAATAGTTTGAACATAAAATGAGATCATTTGAGTGCATTAAGTAGTAAGAAAGTGGGAGCATTTCTAGCAAGAGTAAATCTCTGCAAGGTGGTATCTTAGGCAAGGATTTTTCTCTTGTTTTTCTGGACTCAAACAAACAGACAAATTTCTCTGGGTTCGTCTGTCTCATAATGCAGAACACAATTAAATTAACTAGTTAAGAATTTAGCTTTAACATTTTTAATACTGAATACAGAAAAGGATGAAGTACATTAATTATTGAACATTCTTGATTTGATACTATAGACTATGTAAGTAATTCTGTGCCAAAACTTGAAGCTGAAGAGCTTCTTTAATATCTTTGACAAACATAGTTTACAGATTTGCAAAAGTATTCAAGAAACAAACCTATACCTTTTTGAGTGTGCACATGTACAGCTATGCAGTGCTCTAATTGTAAACCAAAGGATCCTCAAACTCACACTCTGTCAGATTCTGTCTGAAGAGGCAAAAATCTTTGATCTCAGAGAACAGGTTTCCTACTAATTATTGGTTCTGGAAAACAAATAGAGAATACACATCCTTTTATTTAGGACTTTGAATGCAACAGACTTTCACTTTAGCTTGCTCAGGCACTAGAGGGGAGTGTGGTGTCACACAAGTGTTGCAAGTGCTGCATTCTGCAAAGTGCATATATGCTGGCATGCCCAGACACTGGGAAAAGGTACAGCAAAGAAGGACTAAGAAAAATATTTCCCTAAGATTGAAACAGGACAAACTTAGTTTTCAAAAGTCTACTTTGACCTAGTGTTTTACATAAAAATTCCCAATATAGGGATTTGATCTCCTTTAAGGGACAATATCATTCAATTTGGAGAAAGAAATGGCCACCTACTCCAGTATTTGTACCTGGGAAATGCCATGGACAAAGGATCGTGGAGGGCTACACTCCATGGGGTCATAAAAAGAGTCAGATGTGACTTAGTGACTAAACAAGTCATTCAAGTAATTTAATTTCCATAACCTTACTGTTATTTAAAAATGATATATGCTTACTTATTCTTAAGAAGCAAGTTAAACAATATAGAAAGTACAAAGAGGAAAGTGAAAACAACTGGAACTCAAACCATATATTCCCACCATATGGGGGAGGAGTCTTTCAGACCTCTCTCTCATTCACCCTCTACATACAGAAATACATATATGATTTTAAATACATGAAATGACACTGTATGTATGTGTTGTATGAAACTGCCTTCTGTTTCTGGAATGGTATTCTTGCAGATGGAGTAGACATCTTTCTGTGGTTGTGAGAAGGATGAGTTCACAGGACCTAGGTTTAAATTTCTTCTCCATGCACTATGTGACATTGGGCAAGTGAGTTAACCCATCTGCATGTACCTCAGTTTCCTCATAATGCAAGAAGAGGGATGATAATATCACCTATTTAGACAGTTGATGTGAAAGTAAAATCAGATTGTGTAATTGTTTAAGATAGTACCTGGATCTTAATAAGTACTTAATACATTTTAACTATCTTAACTGAATACAAGTTTCAACCTCAGAGTAACATGGAAGGTTGTTATAATATGAAAGTGGGATTTTTTTTTAAATAACTTTCATCATGATAATCCTGAACCATGCTTTTAATATAAATTATTATTGCTTCTACATTTAGCTATATCTTCCCTGACACTGGTATTTACATGCAGCAAATACTATGTACTTATTTACTGATCTACTCGAAGACTGTAACAGAAAGAGATAAACTACCTTTTGTGGAGGTCATTTAAGAATTGTTCTGTGAAACACAAGGTGCCTTTAAGCAAGAGAATTTTCCATGGGCTGGCTTTATAAGACATGACTCCAGCTAAAAATCCCTGTTAATTATTAAACCCTTATGTATAATCTGGATACCTGACACTGCAGATACTGAAGATTGAGAACAGAGAGTGTTTGTCCCTCAAGTTAAGCCTAAACACCGATAGAAAAAAGTAGTTAAGAGGTTGAAAAACCTCAAACCTTTCCCTCTTACATTTAGAAAATAGGCTGGATTATCTCCTGTTTTGGCTGGCATAAATACTGCCTAAACGATCGATTTAAACCTTGTTTGGGATTCCTGCTTATTTTAGCATGGCGGATCTTAAAGTTCACAGGATCTTCTTTTTGGTTATTTCTCTGACAAAGTGTTTGGAGAGCACACAACTGCTGGCAGACTTAAAAAAATGTGGTGACTTGGAATGTGAAAGTAAGTTGCTTTTCTTTTTTTCCTCTTAAACTAAAGCTCTGAAATGATATAAAATGTTATTGTGGACATGTATGATAAAAAATGAACATTAATATCATTGGGAAATATTTGTAGTTATAAGGTGTAGTCCACTATAAAAAGGACATGTTAGAGGCAAAACATTTTGTGATAGTTTTTAATGTAAATATAAAGGAGTAAGGATAACCTTATATATAAATATATCAGAAATTATAAGGATATTAATCCAGCTTTCAAAAACAAACTAGCACTTTTACTACTTTTTAAGATAAATGTAAATGATTTGTATTAAAAAAACAAGCCATTTGATAGCTATTTTTATGAAGCTCTTACATTTTTTAGTTTCTGTTTCACAATCAGAAGTTTCTGACTCTCATGAGTTTTCTAAGACTGTTTTTATTTCATACCATCATGATTTATTGTCTAAAACTTTATCAAACATTAATCATTTTTGCATAATTTATTATGTAAAAATAATGAAATCAATTTTAGGAGTTGAAAATTTTATTTAAGTCTTTGAATATTAAGCTTTCTTCTACAATGATAAATTAATTTTCATTTTGTTCTTTAAGAACTTATTATGGTACAGAACGAATAGCATCTTTCATCCCAATATATTAGAATTGCTTTGAACCTTCTGTCCCTCCAGTATGTGAGAAGTATTTCTAATTTGCTACATGGAAATTAAAAATATAAAATATTATTAGTATTAACATAAATAATTTAAAAGTAAATTTTTATGTGTAAACATTTTCCTTAATAATTTGGATATGTAATTTAATATAGAGAGAATTTTTACTAGATGTTAATAATAATGTTATTATATAACCATTATATAATTATATTATTTTCTAATTATATAACAATAATTAAAACAATTTTTATTTCTTTCTTTACAGCCTCATTTTAGTTGCCTTAGGGTTAGGCACATATCATGTAAACAGAACATTCACATTTATAGTAATTGATAAAAGTTATTTTAACTTTAATTGCACAACTTAATCAAAATGTTTTACATATGTCAGTATAATTATAATAGTTAATATGATATGTATGTTACTTTACATGTTGAAGGGCTAAATCTAGCATATGGGGATATAATCGTTCATAGTTACTAAGGGTCTGTTATGTGCTGGGTCTGCAAGATGAGGGATGTGTATCTAAGCAGAATAAAATAAAATGCAAGATAAGTTTCTCTTCCTCCAGGGATTTTCATTCTAATAAGTGATGATAAGACAGGTCAATATGAAATAGTAGATAGGGGTATAACATAAGAATAATAGGTAATTTTGAAATTCAGAGAAGGGGCAGAGTAGGCTGGACCAATTAGGGATATCTCATATAAGAAGTAGGATATGAGTTGTCCATTAAGAGAGACTGATGGATTTCTACAAAGGTTTAGGGAAAAACAAAGAAAAGCTCAGAATATAGAAAGTGGATGTTGCAGTGAAAAGAAAGTCAGTTCAAATCTGGCTCCACTATTTATCAGGTGTGTGACCATGTCTTTGAGACTTAATTAAAGGCTCATTTGTTAGTCTGAGATGAGATTATTTACCTCATAGGCTGTTTTGAGAATTTAATAATAACAATGATAAAAGGTATGAAAGAGCTTATCATGATGCCTGGAGTATAGTAGGTGCCAGGAAGAAAACTAATTATCTTTTCCTTCCCTTCTCTACTTTGCATGTTACATAGCTTTAATAAGCAGAGTCTCAGCCTTAAGAGATTACAGAGGACCTGACTGTCGATACCTGAACTTCACTAAGGGAGAAGAGATATCAGTTTATGTTAAACTCTCAGGAAAAAGGGAAGACTTGTGGGCAGGAAGTGTAAGTATCTAACCTTATAAATCGAATACAGAATAAATGACCAGCTTGCACAAAGAAGCCTCGTTTTCATCTCTAAAAGAACTTTAAACATTCCAAAGTACTATATATATATATATATATATATATATATATATATATATATATATATGTATATGTATAACTTTTGATATATTTAAACAAACAACATGGACATGTTCACTGTTGGTTCCAGAATTTCTATAAAAGTAGCTTTGGGGAAGTCAATCTGAGATGAAGGCTTAAGAGTGCCTTGAAGTTATTTTACATAAAATGCATAGTTTTTTAACTTAACTTTTATATTTGTTTGGAGAGACTTTAGAGGTACTGATGGAGGTTACCAGGTGACTAGGTAAGCCCAGCCATCCCTTGGTGCTACCAAGGTTTAGGAGAGACTGGGAAGTTTTAGTTAATCAGATTAAAAGACATGTCTTGGGGCTTCCCTGGCAGTCCAGTGGTTAGAGCTCCGTGATATCACCTTTCACTGCCAAAGGTGCAGTTCCATTTCCTAACTGGGAAAACTGAGATCTCACTTGGCCAAAAAAATAAAAAAGACATGTCTTTCTGAGCAAATAAAGGTCTGAGTTGCTATTGAAGAGGTCCTCTGAAAGATTAGTAGCCTAAGGAAATGAGATATATTAATTCTTCATGGAAAAAAAGAATAGCTGAGATACTTTTATTCGGCCCAAAGTCCTATTACACTGAAATTCCTAGGCTCCTGAATCATCTTTCTGAATGCATAATGTAGAAAAATTAATGATTAATATTTTCAGTTGAAAATAGATTGGTATCTAAGATTATATCATTATGTTTAAGAATGAAAACATACCATGACACATGATTTTATTCCCAAGCTGAGCAAGCATGACCAAACTATACATACATCATTTCCATATAGCATATGCATAAGATCTCTTCGTTGTATAGCATCTACATGGGAAGCCTCTGATCTTTATTTGAAGGTGCAGATTCTATGTGGGTCAATCCTGCTTCTTAGCATTAGAGGCTATATGACTGAACCTCAGACATTGTTGACCAGAATGGTTTACCTGGACTTTGCAGCTCCCAAGACTTCTTACTGCTTATGGTTCTTTAAACACACTATTTCTCTGACTTGAATGCACTGGAGGTATCTAATGCAACTATAAGAAAAATTAAACAGTAGGTATCATAAGAAGAAAAGAAAGCATTCTTTCTTGTCTGCTGCTACTGCTGCTAAGTCACTTCAGTCGTGTCTGACTCTGCAACCCCATAGATGGCAGCTCACCAGGCTCCTCCATCCCTGGGATTCTCCAGGCAAGAACACTGGAGTGGGTTGCCATTTCCTTCTCCAATGCATGAAAGTGAAAAGTGAAAGTGAAGTTGTTCAGTTGTGTCTGACTCTTAGCAAACCCCAAGGACCACAGCCTACCAGGCTCCTCCATCAATGGGATTTTCCAGGCAAGAGTATTGAAGTGGGGTGCCATTGCCTTCTCCGTCTTTCTTTCTTGTCTACTATGTGTGGAAATGATAGTTCACACAAAGCAACATGTAATGTGTGGAGCCAGAGTGAAGTTTCAAGCACACTTAATTTTATGCTTTAGATGTCTAGTCCAGGCAGATAGCCATTTAAGCAGCCACACTGTGGGCTTCCCTGGTGTCTCAGTGGTAAGGAATCCACCTACCAGTGCAGGAGACACAGGTTTGATCTCTGCTCTGGGAGGATCCCAATGCTGCGAAGCCACTGAGACTGTGGGCCACAGTTACTGAACCTGCACTCTGGAGCCTGGGAGTCACAACCTCTGAGCCCACATGCCACGACTCCCGAAGCCCATGTGCCCTCGAGCCCATGCCCTGCAACAAGAGAAGCCACTGCGATGAGAGGCCTGCACACCGCGACTGGAGAATAGGCCCTGCTCGCTGCAACTAGAGAAAAGCCTGCATGGCAACAAAGACATAGCACAGCCAAAAATAAGTAAATAAATAAAATTAAAAGAATCCACACTGTGTGATTAAGACTCTGGGCTTTTGTTGCTGAGAGCCTGGGTTCAATCCCTCATTAAAGAACTAAGACCCTGCAAACCAGGTTTTGCCACCATAGAAAAGAAGCCACATTGTGGAGTTCGCTTTGTCAGTTTTCAAATAGTTGCAGCAACTGAAGAGCTGGAAAAATCAGAATTGAGGTGTAATGGTGCTAAATCAAAGGGCCAAAAGAAATCCACTCTTTAAACTTGGACAGGGGTAGGAAATGGACTGAGAGTGGCCATGTGAAGCCTTCACTCTTGGGGGACATCTTGAAGGCACTTAAATAAGATTGAGAGGACCTCTGTCACCAAGGTACAGAAGTTGAATGGAACCCAATCCCCTCTGGAGGACTCGTAGATCTTTACTATCTTGATGAATCCATCTTGGCCCTTCAGAGTTTAAACATCTTATCTTATTTTGACATCCTGAAAATGCTGAATATGTCACAGCTCCATCTAGCTTGGCTACTGTCACCATTCCCTTGTTTTTTCATATTCCAGGTTTATTAGTATAAATCTGTGGTCCACTAGGCAAGAAAGGTCATTAAGAACAAAAAAAGGAAGAAAATGAGTGGTTTTCCCTCTGAAATCTGAAAAAGTGCCATTTTATAGCTTGCCTCTTTGTTCCCTCAAATTAACCCTGTTCTGTTAAGTAGCAAACGGAATATGATTTAATTGGACTTTCTTTTAGATAGTAAATGAAAACCAATAAATATTGTGATTTGAAATACATGAAAGTCAAGCACATGGAACAAAATTAGACTCAATAGCTATTGCTTTGATCACTCTTGTTAACATTTATTCTTCATTTTGATAGAAAGGAAAGGACTTTGGATATTTTCCCAGAGATGCAGTCCAGATTGAACAAGTATTCATATCTGAGGAAGTTCAAATACCAACAAAAGTGAGTAAACAGATTTTGGTTGTTAATTGAACTGATTTATTTTTTTAAAGTAAATTTATGTATTTTTTCTCTAACAAGAATTCCAATTACCTGTTTTCTGTTTCTTCTTTCTCCTTTTAATGAATGTATTCTTTATTTAATTTAATTTATTTTTAAATTAATTGATATTGGAGTATAGTTGTTCTGTGTGTGTGTGTGTTAGTCATTCATTCATGTCTGAGTCTTTGTGACCTCTTTGGACAGTAGCCCACCAGGATTCTCTGTCCATGGAATTCTCAAGGCAAGAATATTGGACTGGGTTGCCATTCCCTTATCGGTTATTAGTTGAATTTAAAATTTCTTGATTAACACAGTTTTCTGTGGTGTAAGTGCCTATTGGTTATACATCTTATAGAGTGGATACATAAAATAGTCTTAAGAACTCACGCTAGGAATAGTTTGACTATGTGAATAAAATCAGGTAAGACAGGGTTAATGACAAAGATTTTGCTTACTGAAAAATTAGCAGGCAGTAGAATATAGTAGTTTAGAGCATAAATTCTGGAGATGGGCTGGGTTCAAAGCCTGACTTAGCCACTGAGTTGTTATGTGATCTTTCTGCCTTTTTTCTCATTTGTGAAATGAGGATGATGATTATAAACTTACCTCATAAACGTACTGAGGAAAAAAGAGCATATGAAAGCACATAAAACAGCATTTACTAAATGCTATGTAAATGTTAGATATTATTTCTAATGTTATTGTCCTCCTGAGACAGAGTTTATCTCCCATCATACTCTCTAGGTCTCCAATCTATAAACTTCTTTTGCTGTTAGAGCTTTGACTGAGTTTGATAATGCTGGGCTTGATAATGAGAAAGGGAATCAGAAGGTGACTCTTCAATACGTGAATTTGACTAGCACATTTAATTCAGATTCTGAGTTCGATCCCTGGATCAGCAAGATCCTCTGGAGGAGAGTATGGCCACCCACTCCAGAATTCTTGCCTGGAAAATCCCACGGACAGAGGAGCCTGGCAGGCTACGGTCCATAGGATCACAAAGAGTCAGACACAACTGAAGCGACTTAGCACACACACATGCAGGTTAAGCCAGTTTACCTTAAATGAGGTCAGTGTGAAGTCAGTTCTGCCTGGTTAAGTAAACTGTCTATTATCCGGCTCTTTCCCAGCACAAATTCTGGGATTAACTGTCTATTCACTGTGTAACTATCGGTCCTGCCACTTCTGTCTCCAAAATATATCTATCTGTCTTCTCTTCAGTTTTACTCTCCCTATAGCTCTGACTCAAAGCATAATTACCTCCTGAGTAGAACCTGTAGTAGGTTTCTAACTGGTCTTTTTACCTTTACTTTTGCCCTCTTCCAATTCATTCTCTAAACAGCCATGAATCTTATAGTCATGAATCAAAATCCAAAAAATCAGATCTTGTCATTCACTTGGTTTAAAGCCTTTGAACGGCTTTGCGTTGAATCTGGAATCAAGCCCTCACTCCTTACCTGGCTCTGCATGATCTGTTCCTGCCCTCTGCTGACCCTGTCTTATGCCCTTCTTCTGGCCCCCACTCACTATGCTCCTAGCCATGCTGGTCTATTGACTGTTCTTCGACCATGCCAAGCCCTTTCCCTTCCCAGAAACCCAAATAGGTCATTCCCTTTGTTTGGAATGCTTTCCCTAAGTTCTCCACCTGGTTAGTCCCTCCTTATCCTTTTGTTGTTGTTGTTTAGTCATTAAGTTATATCTGTTATTTTTAATCCTCAAGCTGTAGGTTGCAGCTTAAACATCAGTGCCTCAGAGAGCTCTTCCATGATGATTCTAAACGAATTAATGCTTCTCAACCACAACTTCGTATTTATCTCCTGCATAGCACTTATCACAATCTATTATTTATTGTTTCTATCATTTACTGTAGAATTTCAGTACTTGGCACAGAGCAGAGCACATAGTAGGCATATCAGTTCAGTCAGTTCAGTTCAGTCGCTCAGTCGTGTCCGACTCTTTGCGACCCCATGAATCTCAGCACGCCAGGCCTCCCTGTCCATCAAAAACTCCCGGAGTTTACTCAAACTCATGTCCATCAAGTTGGTGATGCCATCCAGCCATCTCATCCTCTGTCACTGCCTGCTCCTCCTTCTCCCAATCCCTCCCAGCATCAGGGTCTTTTCCAATGAGTCAACTCTTCGCATGAGGTGGCTAAAGTATTGGAGTTTTAGCTTCAACATCAGTCCTTCCAATGAACACCCAGGACTGATCTCCTTTAGGATGGACTGGTTGGATCTCCTTGCAGTCCAAGGGACTCTCAAGAGTCTTCTCCAACACCAACGTTCAAAAGCATCAATTTTTCGGTGCTCAGCTTTCTTCACAGTCCAACTCTCACATCCATACATGACCACTGGAAAAACCATAACCTTGACTAGATGGACATTTGTTGACAAAGTAATGTCTCTGCTTTTTAATATGCTATCTAGATTGGTAATAACTTTCCTTCCAAGGAGTAAGTGTCTTTTAATTTCATGGCTGCCTTCACCATCTGCAGTGATTTTGGAGCCCAAAAAAGTAAAGTCTGACACTGCTTCCACTGTTTCCCCATCTATTTGCCATGAAGTAATGGGACCAGATGCCATGATCTTAGTTTTCTGAATGTTGAGCTTTAAGCCAACTTTTTCACTCTCCTCTTTCACTTTCATCAAGAGGCTTTTTAGTTCCTCTTCACTTTCTGCCATAAGGGTGGTGTCACCTGCATATCTGAGGTTATTGATATTTCTCTCAGCAATCTTGATTCCAGCTTGTGCTTCATCCAGCCCAGCGTTTTTCATGATGTATTCTGCATATAAGTTAAATAAGCAGGGTGACAATATACAGCCTTGCCGTACTCCTTTTCCTATTTGGAACCAGTCTGTTGTTCCATGTCCAGTTCTAACTGTTGCTTCCTGACCTGCATACAGGTTTCTCAAAAGGCAGGTCAGGTGGTCTGGTATTCCCATCACTTTCAGAATTTTCCACAGTTTATTGTGATCCACACAGTCAAAGGCTTTGGCATAGTCAATAAAGCAGAAATAGATGTTTTTCTGGAACTTTCTTGCTTTTTCGATGATCCAGCAGATGTTGGCAATTTGATCTCTGGTTCCTCTGTCTTTTCTAAAACCAGCTTGAACATCTGGAAGTTCACGGTTCATGTATTGCTGAAGCCTGGCTTGGAGAATTTTGAGCATTACTTTACTAGCGTGTGAGATGAGTGCAATTGTGCAGTAGTTTGAGCATTCTTTGGCATTGCCTTTCTTAGGGATTGGAATGAAAACTGATGTGGTCACTGCTGAGTTTTCCAAATTTGCTGGCATATTGAGTACAGCACTTTCACAGCATCATCTTTCAGGATTTGAAATAGCTCAGCTGGAATTCCATCACCTCCAATAGCTTTGTTCGTAGTGATGCTTTCTAAGGCCCACCTGAAAAAAAAAAATAAGGCCCACCTGACTTCACATTCCAGGATGTCTTGTTCTAGGTGAGTGATCACACCACTGTAATTATCTGGGTCGTGAAGATCTTTTTTGTACAGTTCTTCTTTGTATTCTTGCCACCTCTTAATATCTTCTGCTTCTTAGGTCCATACAATTTCTGTCCTTTATCGAACCCATCTTTGCATGAAATGTTCCCTTGGTATCTCTAATTTTCTTGAAGAGATCTCTAGTCTTTCCCATTCTGTTGTTTTCCTCTATTTCTTTGCATTGATCACTGAGGAATGCTTTCTTATCTCTCCTTGCTATTCTTTGGAACTCTGCATTCAAATGGGAATATCTTTCCTTTTCTCCTTTGCTTTTTGAGTCTCTTCTTTGTAAGAAGAAGCTATTTGTAAGGCCTCCTCAGACAATCATTTTGCCCTTTTGCATTTCTTTTCCATGGGGATGGTCTTAATCCCTGTCTCCTGTACAGTGTCACGGACTTCCGTCCATGGTTCATCAGGCTCTCTGTCTACCAGATCTAGTCCCTTAAGTCTATTTCTCACTTCTACTGTAGGGTCATAAGGGATTTGATTTAGGTCATACCTGAATGGTCTAGTGGTTTTCCCTACTTTCTTCAATTTAATTCTGAATTTGGCAATAAGGAGTTCATGATCTGAGCCACAGTCAGCTCCTGGTCTTGTTTTTGCTGACTGTATAGAGCTTCTCCATCTTTGGCTGCAAACAATATAATCAATCTGGTGTTGACCATCTGGTGATGTCCATATGTAGAGTCTTCTCTTGTGTTGTTGGAAGAGGGTGTTTGCTATGACCAGTGTGTTCTCTTGGCAAAACTCTATTAACCTTGGCCCTACTTCATTCCGTACTCCAAGGCCAAATTTGCCTGTTACTCCAGGTGTTTCTTGACTTCCTACTTTTGCATTCCAGTCCCCTATAATGAAAAGGACGTCTTTTTTTGGTGTTAGTTCTAAAAGGTCTTGTAGGTCTTCATAGAACCATTCAACTCCAGCTTCTTCAGCATTACTGGTTGGGGCATAGGCTTGGATTACAGTGATATTGAATGATTTGCCTTGGAAACGAACAGAGATCATTATGTCATTTCTGAGATTGCATCCAAGTACTGCATTTCAGACTCTTTTGTTGACCATGATGGCTACTCCATTTCTTCTAAGGGATTCCTGCCCACAGTAGTAGATATAAAGGTCATCTGAGTTAAATTCACCCATTCCAGTCCATTTTAGTTCGCTGATTCCTAGAAGGTCGACATTCTAGGCATATAGGAGGCCCAAATTCTTAGGTCAAGTCTCTTGGGAAATAGATGGACTTTGGCATCCAAGAAGGGTACTGGGGAGTACTCTTGGGAATAACACTTGTAAAGAAACACCAGAAAAAGCAGGATTGGACAGACAGAGAAGTTGAACTATAATGCAGTTGCAGCAATGATTTCAGGTGATTCTATAAGGAACTTAGAAGCTGAGAGGACTTTTCAGATTTGTTCTGAATAGAGGCAAGGGAATGGGCCTTTTTATCCTTGCACAACTGGCTCATCTAGGGTAGTATAACCTTGGGCTACATTAGACTAGTATTTACTAGAGACAGTTTCTATTTTAAGTACTTTATTCATTTAATCTTTTCACAACAGCCCTATAAGTTATTATTTTTCTCATTTTGCAAACGAAGAGGCTGAGGCATAGAAAGGTCATCTAATTCACCCAAGGTCACAGAGCTAGTAAACAGCAGGATTAAGATTTCAATCCAAGGGTGAAACAGATCACCAGCCCAGGTTGGATGTATGAGACAAGTGCTCAGGGCTGGTGCACTGGGAAGCCCCAGAGGGAGGCAGGAGGGGGGATCGGGATGGGGAACACATGTAAATCCATGGCTGATTCATGTCAAGGTATGGCAAAAACCACTACAATATATTGTAAAGTAATTAGCCTCCAAGTAATAAAAATAAATGAAAAAAAAAAAGATTTCAATCCATAGTTTGGCTCCAATGTCTATTAATCACAGTGTTGCAGTGCCAAAATTATACTGTAGAAATTGCAATTCTGAAGTTTATTTTTTGTAAAATTCTGAGTTTTATTTTCATTTTATAATGGTGATTACCAAACAGCAGTGCATATCAGTGTCTCATACCTTCAGATAAAAAAAAATAGCTTTTATCATTTTATTCTTGAAAATTTGGTTGTTCTGTGAGATAAGCAAGGGGATCCCTGTCTCCATTGGCTGCTTACAACTAACTCCGTTAAAGAATCCTGAATGTTTTAGTGTAGCTTCTAACCAGGCCATCATGCTTTAGAATCTGGTTCTTCTGAGCTGTGATCATCTGCTGTAAGTTCCGGTCTGAAACCACTGCACAGCTCCAAATGTCCATTCATTGCACCCTTACAAGGAGCAAGATTGTGTCCATGTATGCCTTTTCATTAGAGTTTCTTTGCAGAATATACTCAATGCTGGATTACCTTTTCTTCTAAAGTTCTTCAACTATTTGATCACAAATCCTAATGCAAGTGGATCTCACTGAGGTTTATATCACTAATCCTGAAAAGTCAGTTAGGATACAGATGTTTGCGATTAGGAGTTTTTGCTCAGCTATTGAGCTAGTTGTGTGGCCTTGGGAAAATGACACTCATTTGGAATGATTTTGGACAAACAAGGAGTTTCAGTATATTAATGTCAATCATATATATTTTTTTCCTTTCAGGAATCTGACTTTTTCTGTCTTCTTGGAATAAACTACGTATTTGAAAATGAAGCTAGTGAGTTAAACAGTGATAATAGTGAAAATATGTATCCATATGAAGAAGATAATGACCCCAAATCTAGTGTATATGAAAATGATTTTCAGATAGAACCTGGCTTTTATTCAACTTCTGAAGGTAGTTTGTTTGAAGACCTATTTCCAGCTTCAGAGGCTCCTAAAGATATCAGAAGTACTAGTGAATCAGAAGATTGGGAAGCAGAAGCTGGAAGTATGGAACAGTATCTTATTCCAGAAGGGGATCATGTCCCACTGTCTTCAACTGTGCCTGAAGTGAAAGAATGGTTTGGATTCGGAAAGGACCAAACTGAAGAAAAGACTTTTGAATCAGTTATTGAACCTCAAGAAGAAAGCTCATTTCAAAGTAGACAAACAGCAGTGGAAGATGGGAATGGCCCAGAGGAATTAAACAGTGGTAAGCCCCAAACAGAACATAAGCAAGAACTTGAATCAGAGTTTGATTCAGTGCCAAAGGAACAGTCTGAACTAGTGTCTGAGTCAGAGCACATTTTCAGTCCTCAAGACACTGGTTGGTTTGGTGGTAGATTTACAAGTTATTTGGGTTTTGGAGGTGAGGATACAGAGCTTGAGTTATTGTCCAAAGAAAGCAACCCACCTTTAGAAGATGTTCCTAGTTCCATATCCTCTGAGGAAGAACCCACTGTTCCGTGTACAGAAATATTAACAGAAAAAGAAGACATAATCACTAATGACAGCTCAATTCTCAAGCCAAGCTGGTTTGATTTTGGTTTTGCTATGCTAGGCTTTGCATATGCTAATGAAGATAAAATGATATCAGATGATGGAATAAATGAAGAAGGAGGTGTGGGAGATAAACATAGACATCCTTCAACAAGTGAATTTGACCCTCTTAAGGAACAAGAAATAAAACAAATAAAAATTACAGAAACTGAAAATCAAATAGGCAAGGAAAGGGTCTTAGAGAAAACAGATGATTCTGATACTGTACCATATTTTAAAAAGCTATTATATAATTTTGACAATCCCTGGAAGTTCCAGAACACTCCAAAGGAAACGGAATTGACATTTCCCAAACAGACTCTGGATGAAAGTAATATGGGTGAAAATGATAAAACAGAAGAATTTTCAGCTGAAAAGTACCCCACAGATAATATAGAAGATATGCTGAAAAGTGATTACAGTCAGCCAGGTTAGTATAAAATATCTATAATGTGATTTCTTTTTTAAACATAGGAAAAAGTGAAATTGCTAGTCGCTCAGTCGTGTCTCACTTTTTGAGGTGCCATGGACTGTAGCCCGCCAGGCTCCTCTGTCCATGAATTCTCCAGGCCAGAATACCGGAGTGGGTAGAGATTCTCTTCTTCAGGGGATCTTCTCAAGCCAGGGGTCGAACCTGGGTCTCCCGCATTATGGGCAGATTCTTTACGGTATGAGCCTCCTTTTAAAAATACAAATCACATGAAAAATCCAGGAATCCTTGTTTTTCTAAATAAACAATAATCGGCAACAACCTTGTCAATCACCCTTTTATCAATATATCTGGTTTGCTCTGGGACTTAGTAGATCTTGAAGTGAAGTGAAAGTCAGTCAGTCATGTGCAACTCTTTGCGACCCCATGGACAGGCGCCTGCCAGGCTCCTCTGTTCATGGAATTCTGCAGGCAAGAATACTGGAGTGGGTTGCCGTTCCATTCTCCAGGGGATCTTCCCAACTCAGGGTTCAAACCCAGGTCTCCCACATTGCAGGTGGATTCTTTACTGTCTGAGCCACAGGGAAGCCCTTAGTAGATATCAATATCATAAAATCTCAAGGGGCAAGGAATGATTGGATATATATGGATCTTTCAAGGAGATCTTTAGGTATTTTACAATAAGTTTTAATCAAACTGCTATATGTAGACAGGTTTAAAAATATATGTAATGCTAAGGCTTTTTTTTTTTTTAAACAAAAGCAATTTCTGTTCCCTTTGTCCATCTCTACTTCCACTTCTCTCCGAAGGATAATAATTTCTTTTATTTTTTAGAGAAAATTTATTTTAGTATTTATCTTCTTTAGTATTTATTTTCTAAATAAAATATTTATATTGTTCTTCTTTGATTAGCCTATTTTAGATAATGTCCATTGACTTCCTGTTCTGTTAGGTGATAATTTTTGCTTATTAGGTTATTCTAAAAACACCTTTCATTAGTTTAAAATAGTCTTGGTTTCTAAATTATATTTTATTCTAGATCTATAGTTCCTTACCTCCCCCCTAAGAAGATCTGTGATAACAAGGTTTTCTTTAAGTGTGCAAGATAATATGGAAACTCAAGCAAAAACAATGTAAAAAGTTTTCCACATTCTCCCTCAAGTCTCTCAATTCTGGGAGCTCAACAGAGGACAACAGAAGAGGGCAGAGTAGCAGAGGAGACTTCTAGGTGTCCAGGCATCAGTGACTCCTATGATTAAAAACGTGGATTATATTTTAAGTAGAGTTATATAACATGACTTTCTCACATCTCCATTCTGATGTCTTTATGATGGACAGATTAGAAACTCAACAAATATTGGCCAATAATACAGAAACAATTGAACTTTAGAATGACAGAAAAACTTTCACAAGAAGAGATCAATAATGCAAACTCAGAAAGAAACACATTTCTTTGGAGCTAGTTGATTTTCTTGAATTTCCAGAAGAACTATATGTTATTTCTTAATATTCTACAAAATGTGAGTTCTTTCCTTGATCAACATCCTCTAACCAGAATATAGACTTTAGATTCTAAGTGAAGTGAAAGTATTTGTCGCTCAGTCATGTCAGACTCTTTGAGACCCCATGGACTGTAGCTGGCTAGGCTCTTCTGTTCATGGAATTCTCCAGGCAAGAATACTGGAGTGGGTAGCCATTCCCTTCTCTAGGGGATCTTCCTGACCCAGGGATCGAACTTGGGTCTCCTGCATTGCAGGCAGATTCTTTGCCATCTGAGCCACCTCTAACACTTTTCTAAATAAGAAAGGTGTAGATATGATGATTTTCATGATTGAAAACATTAGAGACCTAGATTTTCAAAGGCTAGAGTAAATCATTTTATTCTAAGCTCGTTAGATCCTAAAGAGATATTTGTGAAAAAGCAGATAAGAGTAACTGGAAAAAAGAGAGACTAAAACAAAGCAATATCAACCCAGAAATATAGACAAAAAATTTTTATAGATATATAAAAATATTTTAGAGCTTATTTATAGAAACTTCAGGGCATTCTGAATATCATTTTAGTAGAATTTATTTCATGTAGTGATGCTGGGAGAATAACTTGGTAAATAGTCAAGCAGTGCATTTATGCAACTATAACTAGTTTTGAAGGATTTTTATAAAAGTGTTAAGAAATTCTTTTAAGGTTCAGAAAAAAGATGCCTTACTCTACAAATATTTCAAAACATTTCACTATTAACTAGGCTCATGCCAAGTTTGCTATTAAAAAAGAGAATACTAAAGGAAGGATTCAGTTAATGCCACAGAGTCTATTTTCTGGATATTGGAGAAATAGCTAAAATAGCCAATATTTTCAGATAATTTCACTAATCCTTTTAGGGAATAACAAGTGAAAACTGGACTTAATTGTAAAGAATACATAAGAAAAATGAACCACTGATCTTGAATAAGTATTTGTGAAAAGCTGAGACTTGAGATAACACATTGACAGAAAGCCAATATTGCTGATCTAAGACTTTACAAAATAAATTAATTAGATAAGTTATTTATATTACAATATTAATAGCTATTTTACAAAAGGATTCCAACTGAACTTATTTAAATAATGAATTTTTCAAGTACAGTTAAATATGAAAGAAAATTATTTTATTGAATTAAAACATTATTAATTTATTAACAATTGTAAGAAAGTCATAACTGTATCTAATGTAAATCTTTTTAAAAAATTGAAGATTTACAATATGTCAGGTATACAGCAAAGTGATTCAGTTACATATAACAATATATGTACATATAAGAACATATATGAGTACATACATAAGAATATATATTATTTTTCAGATTGTTTTCAATTATAGGTTAGGACTTTGTTGTTTATTTTATATACTGCTGCTGCTGCTAAGTCGCTTCAGTCGTGTCCAACTCTGTGCGACCCCACAGACAGCAGCCCACCAGGCTCCTCTGTCCCTGGGATTCTCCAGGCAAGAATACTGGAGTGGTTTGCCATTTCCTTCTCCAATGCATGAAAGTGAAGTGAAAGTTAAGTCGCTCAGTTGTGTCCGACTCTTGGAGACCCCATATATACTGCTGCTGCTACTGCTAAGTCACTTCAGTCGTGTCCAACTCTGTGCGACCCCACAGACAGCAGCCCACCAGGCTCCCCCATCCCTGGGATTCTCCAGGCAAGAACACTGGAGTGGCTTGCCATTTCCTTCTCCAATGCATGAAAGTGAAAAATGAAAGTGAAGTCGCTCAGTTGTGTCCGACTCTTAGAGACCCCATGGACCGCAGCCTACCAGTCTCCTCCATCCATGGGATTTTCCAGGCAACAGTACTGGGGTGGGGTGCCATTGCCTTCTCTGCCCATATATACAGTAGTATATAAATGTTAATCCCAAATTCTTAATTTATCCCTCCCTTTCTTTCTCTTTGGTAACTATAAATTTGTTTTCTGTCTGTGAGTCTATTTCTGTTTTGTAAATAAGTTCATTTGTATAATTTTTCTAGATTCCACATGTAAGTGATATCATATAATATTTTATGTCATATCTGACTTAATCTAATATGATAATCTCTAGGTCTATCCAATGCTGCAAATAGCATTATTTCATTCTTTTTTATGGCATGTAGTCCATTGTATGTATTTAATACATGCGATCTTCTTTTTCTGTTCATCTGTTGATAGACATTTAGATTGCTTCCATGTCTTGGCTATTGTAAATAATGCATGTATGTTTTCAAATTGTAGTTTTCTCCCAGTATACGGCCAGGTATGGGGTTGTTCGATCCTATGGAAGTTCTATCTTTAGTTTTTTAAGGGACCTCCATGCTGTTCTCCCTAGTGGCTGCACTAGTTTATGTTCCCACCAGAGTACAGAAGACTATCCTTTTCTCCACACCCTCTTCAGTATTCATTGTTTGTCGACATTTTGATGATGGCCATTCTGACTGGTGTGATACCTCACTGTAGGTTTGATTTACATTTCTCTAATAATTAGCGATGTGCTTCTTCTTGGCCATCTGGATGTCTTCTTTGAAGAAATGTCTGTTTAGGTCTTCCACTCATTTTTTAGTTGTTTGCTTTTTTGATATTGACCTGTATGAGCTGTTTGTATATTTTGGAAATCAATCCCTTGTTCATAGCATCATTTGCAAATATTTTCTCCCATTTCATAGGCTGTCTTTTTGTTTTGTTTATGGTTTCTTTCACTGTGCAAAGATTTTTAGTTTAATTAGGTCCCATTTATTTTTGGTTTTGTTTTCTTTACTCTAGGAGACAGATTCCCCAAAATATTGCTGTGATTTATATCAAAAAGTGTTCTACCATTGTTTTCCTCTAGGAGTTTTATAGTATCCAGTCTTGTAGTTAGGTCTTTAAATTTTTTGTGTATGGTATTAGAGAATGTTCTAATTGCATTCTTTTACATGTTGCTGTCTAGTTTTTCCTGTACCACTTATTGAAGAAACTATCTTTTCTACATTGTATATCCTTATCTACTTTGTTGTAGATTAATTGACCATAAGTGTGTGGGCCTATTTCTGGGCTCTTTAGACTACTCCATTGATCCATGTATCTATTTTTGTTCCAGTGTCATACTGCTCTCATGATTGTAGCTTTGTAGTGTAAGCTGAAGTCAGGGAGTATGATTCCTCCAGATCTGTTCTTCTTTCTCAAGATTGCTTTGGCTTCTAATGTAAATCCTAGGGCTTGTGTTTGAGTCATGTAAAAATAATACCTCAGAAATGTAATTAAATATGAAAATAATATAGGAAGTTTTTGGTTTTTTACATATATTTATTTCAAGTGCATTATCAGATAATATTTTAAAAAGAATCAATCTAGGCACACATAAATTTTGGGAAATCAATTGTTGAATAAGTCTTTTTTCCTCTTATGCCATTAAACATCATTGTAGATCACTATTTGAATCCTGTATTTACAATGGTCCAATTATATTCAGACTCCTGAATTGATTGTTGATTTTAAATTTTAATGTCCACATGTGATATTATTAAACTACAGATATCTGTTTGCTCACTGGGGACTTTCTTCTTTTAAACAATGCTAACTAAGTGTCAGCATGAAAATGATATGTTACATTCATAACTCAAAGAGCAAAGTTAGATATTGAATAATTCAGTTAGGACTATTCTTTAATACTGTTTTCCAGGACTGCACTGATAGTTTTCTATCTTTTTCTTAAAAAGTAACTGAGAAATAAATTCCACAATTTACTTGACTACTATACCTCAGGCTAGGACTAGTTAGAACCTTTTTTTAAAAAAAAATCCTGTTTGATTAGTTCATTGAATCAAGTGATCAGTTTAAACTATATTTGAAGATTGAATTGATGGCTGTGTGACATGGCATGCCCATAAATATATGGTGCAATGTTACAAATGTGGAAAATTATAACACATATATTTCAAATTAAATTTTTTTCTTAATTTTGGAGAAGGGTAATCCTTTTTAAGGGCTTCCCAGATGGCTCAGTTGTAATCTGCTTGCCAATGCATGTCGGGTTCACTCTCTGGGTTTGGAAGAGCCCCTGAAGAAGGAAATGGCAACCTGCTCCAATAGTCTTGCCTGGAAAATCCCATGGACAGAGAAGCCTGGCAGGCTACATTCCATGGGATCACAAAAGTTGGACACAACTTAATGACTAAACATCAATGACAACAATCCTCTTTACAATGGATTTTCTCGAGATGTGCATATAGATATATATGTGTGTGTGTATTACAGGGCCATGAGCCAAAGGATGCAGATAGCCTCCAGAAGGCAGAACAAGCAAGGATATGAATTCTCCTCTAGACCTACAGAAGGAACACAGCCCTGCCAAAGCCTTGGTTTTAGGATTTCTGATTTCCAGAAATATATTTGTGTTGTTTAAGCTATTAAGTGTGTGTTAATTTATTATATCTGCATTAGGAACTAATACAGACTATAAATTTGTTTCAATGAATTCTTTCCATAATGAAGTATCACAATGCCCACAAAGATTCAAAGGATGACCTGCCTAGAAAAAAATAGGAAGCCTACAACAAAGTAAACATTATTAAAAACCCTAAACATTTCTCTCTATTTGCAGATATGGACTCTGAAATAGAGTTCCCTATGGGAATTCATGAAGAAGCTCATTTCAAAACTCTATCTTCTGAAAATTGTGATGAAAAATTAAAAACATCACTAGACACTGAAAGGCCTACTCAGGTGGAAATGGACACATCTGTGGAAAATACCCTGTCAAACAGTCAGATCCTTTTAACTGATTACTCTTTATCTCCTCAAAATTACATTGCTAAAAACGGTAAGAAACAAGTTATTTGTTCTCTAATGCAGTAATTAAGGAAGAAATTAAAATTTGTATCTTATCAAGTATTAACATTTTAATTTATAAATTGACAGAAGATGCTTCTTGGCGTCAGCTTCTGGAATATTTATTTCAAATTGATGTTTATGATTTCCTGAATTCTGCATTTTCACCAATTGTAATTCTAATAGAAAGGGTAAGTTGAAATTTTAGATATTTTTCAATACTTTTATGTGTGTGCTAAGTTGAGTCAGTTGTGTCTGACTCTTTGTGAGGCTATAAACTGCAGCCTGCCAGGTTCCTCTGCCTATGGGATGATGTAGGCAAGAATATTGGAGTGGATTGCCATTTCCTTCTTCAGGGGATCTTCCTGACCAAGGGATTGAACCTGAATTTCTATGTCTTTTGCATTGACAGGTGGGTTCTTTATCACTAGCGCCACCCAATAATTTTACCTATTTTACTAAATATAGGAGTAGCTGAAAATTATGTTTGAGTGAATCCTCCATATGTAAATATTATTGATGCATAACATTTCTCTTTGCATAAAATCTTACATGAAGCTTTTCCCTTACATGAATATTTTGTTGCATGGATGTTCTTAAAGATATTTTTAAAAACCTTTCCTTAAGCTTTGTTGATCTTGAGCATTAGGGTTTTTTCCTTCTCTCTTTTTTTAAATCAGAAGAAATCATACTAAGATTTAACTCAGAAATAATATGAACTGAACTGAAACTTAATCTTAAGCAAATTACTAATATTTGAATAACAGCTGTGACCTCAAAATGATGTAATGTGAGAATCTTGCAAAAACAACTAGTACTTCAAAATTTAACCAAGTCATAACTAAAATTCTAAAGTCTGTCTGCTTTTTCATTTATTGTAACTTCTATTAAATTCTATCTCATTTATTATAAATGAAATATTACAAAAGGACCTAGCTGTAGTATTTGGCACATAAGGTCTTTTGCAAGTGTTTGTTTCTTTTCTCATTTACTACTATTATATAAATAATTGAGGAAGCACTTGTATCTTCTCATTTACATTTTAAGATGAAACAACAGTGGTTGCCTTCAAGGAGTTCATTCTCGTTGGACACAGTAGAAAAAGCAATAATTGTACTATGTGCTGTAATGGCCACAGGATGCTACTGATACACAGGAGGAGCTGCCTGGTAGACTGATTGGGAATGGTAGGTAGAGAGAGTGGGAAGGAGGAGCCTGGGACAATGTCCCAGAAGAGATCTTACTTGAGCTGATCTTGAAGAAAGAGTAGCAGTTAGCCAGGCAAGAAAGGATGAACATTCTAGGTTGAGAAAGTACAGAAGTGGGAGAAATTCTGGCATTTCTAAGTAATTCAGTCTGATTGAATTTATAAGAAATAAATTTATAAGCAATTTATAAGTAATTCAGTCTGATTGAATATAAAGTGAGACTGAGGTTGAATATTGGGATTAAAGAGAAAGGTTAGCTTTGCATTTGTGATAGGAAGTTGAACTGTACCTTTTCAATAATGGGGCACTATTTTTTAAATTTATTTTTAATTGGAAGATAATTGCTTTAAGTAAAGTGAAAAAGTTTCATGTATGAAGTCTGTCAACCCACACTGTCAATATTAATAAGAATTGAATGAAGACCAGAAGAAGGGAGTCCAATCAAGAAGTTATCACTTGAGTTCAGGAAATAAATCATGAAGGTCTAAATTAGGGTTTATAAACTCAAATGAAATGAGTGCAGCACAGGTAAAGGAGAGAACTGTAGCCAACTATAGAGTGTATGCCTCTCCAAAGGATACAGGTCCTTCAGTTTGGTTTTTTTTCCCCAGATATTCTGATATTTCGAGAAAAATTGGAAATCTAGAATTTTTTTTTGTGTGTGAAATCTCCCATTTTTAAAAAAGAACCTGTTTTTTAAAAATAATATTTAAAAATATTTACTTATTTATGGCTGTGTTGGGTCTTTGTTGCTGCACAGGTTTCTTCTAGCTTCGATGAGTGGGGGCTACTCTAGTTGTGGTGCAAGCGCGTCTCATTGCAGTGGCTCCTGTTAGGGAGCACAGGCTCCAGGGCGCAGGGCCTCGGTAGTTACCGTACACGGGCTCAGTAGTGACGTGAGGGCCCTAGAGCGTGGGCTCAGTAGTTATTGCACTTGAGTTTAGCTGCTCTGCGGTATATGGGATCTTCTCTGACCAGGGATTGAACCTGTGTCTCCTGCATTGGCAGGTGGATTTTTTTTTTTTAATTTATTTATTTTTAGTTGAAGGATAATTACTTTACAGTATTGTGTTGGTTTCTGCCAAACATCAACAAGAATTGGCAATAGGTATACATATGTCCCCTCCTTCTTGAACCTCCCTTCCACCTCCCTCCCCATCCCACCCCTCTAGGTTGTTACAGAGTCCTGGTTTTAGTTCCCTGAGTCAGACAGCAAATTACTATTAGCGATCTATTTTATATGTGGTAATGTATGTTTCTATGTTATTCTCCCCATACATCCCACCCTCTCCTTCCTTCCCTGCACTGTGTCCATAAGTCTGTTCTTTATGTCTGTGTCTCCATTGCTGTCCTGCAAATAATTTTATCAGCACTATCTTTCTAGATTCCTTATATATGTGTTAGTATACGATATTGGCTTTTCTTTTTCTGATTTACTTCACTCTGTGTAATAGGCTCTAGGTTCATCTATCTTCTTAGAACTGACTCAAATGTGCTCCTGTTTATGGTTGAGTAATATTCTATTGTATATATGTACCATGGCTTCTTTATTTGTTCATATGTTGCTGGACATCTAGGTTGCTTCCATGTCCTAGCTATTGTAAACAGTACTGCAGTGAACATTGGGGAACATGTGTCTTTTTCAATTTCGGTTTCCTCAGTGTATATGCCTAGTAGTGGGATTGCTGGGTCATATGGTGGTTTTGGAGAAGGGAATGGCAACCCACTCCAGTACTCTTGCCTGGGAAATCCCATGGACAGAGGAGCCTGGCGGGCTATAGTCCATAGGGTTGCAGAGTTAGACACAACTAAAGCAACTTAGGAAGCACACACATGGTGGTTTTATTCCCAGTTTTTTTTTTTTTAATCTCCACACTCTCTTCCATCATGACTGTATCAATTTATATTCCCACCAGCAATGTAAGAGGGTTCCGTTTGCTCCGCAGCTTCTCTAGCATTTGTTTGTAGACATTTTGATGACAGCCATTCTGACTGGTGTGAGGTGATATCTTATAGTTTTGATTTTCATTTCTCTAATATTGAGCAATGTTGAGCATCTTTTCATGTGTTTGTTAGCCATCTGTATGTCTTCTTTGGGGAAATGTCTATTTAGGTCTTTTTCCACTTTTTTTTTCCATTTATTTTTATTAGTTGGAGGTTTTCCCCACTTTTTGATTGGGTTGTTTTTCTGATATTGACTTATATGAGCTGCTTGTTTATTTTGGAAATGAATCCTTTGTCAGTTGTTTCATTTGCTATTATTTTCTCTCATTCTGAGGGGTGTCTTTTCACTTTGTTTATAGTTTCCTTTGCTGTGTAAAATTTTTAAGTTTAATTAGGTTCCACTTATTTATTTTCGTTTTTATTTCCACTACTCTAGGAGGTGGGTCATAGAGGATCTTGCTGTGATTTATGTCATAGAGTGTTCTGCCTATGTTTTCCTCTAAGAATTTTATAGTATCTGGCCTTACATTTAGGTCTTTAATCCATTTTGAGTTTATCTTTGTGTATGGTGTTAGGGATGTGGGTTCAATCCCTTGGTCGGAAAGATCCCCTGGAGGAGGGCTCAGGCAACCCACTCCAGTATTCTTCCCTAGAATATCCCCATGGGCAAAGGAGTCTGGTGGGCTATAGTCCATGGGGTCTCAAAGAGTCGAACATGACTAAAGAGACTTAAGATGGTGCGAGGAAGTGTTCTACTTTCATTCTTTTACATGTAGCTGTCCAATTTTCTCAGCACCACTTACTGAAGAAGCTATCTTTGCCCCACTGTGTATTTTTGCCTCCTTTGTTAAAAATAAGCTATCCATAGGTGCATGGGTTTATCTCTGGGCTTTTTATATTATTCCATTGGTCTATATGTCTGTTTTTGTGCCAGTATCGTACTGTCTTCTTGATGACTACAGCTTTGTAATATAGTCTGGAGTCAGAAAAGTTGTTTCCTCTAGCTACATTCTTCTTTTTCAAGATTGTTTTGGCTATTTGGGGTCTTTTGTGTTTCCATATGAATTGTGAGATTTTTTTGTTCTAGCTCTGTGAAAAATGGCAGGTGGATTTTTTACCCCTGAGCCACCAGGGAAGCTTGAAATCTCCCAATTTTTAACTGCTGGCAAATATTCAGATTAAAAAAAACTACCATGCAGGTCAGACAAAATGTTCTGTGGGTTGAGTTTGGGCTACTAGCCATATTTTTTAACCTCTGACCTAAGTATCTGACAATGGTTATTAAAATGATTGGAAGAACAAACTAGATAGACCTTTTGCAGATAGACCACTGGATTTAGTGATTGATTGAAAGTAGCAAGGAGAAAATGAAAAACAGGAAAATTTATGCAATTTCTAGTTAAGGTGACCAGGTGCCACTGACTGTAAGAGTATTTGTGAAAACTAGGCTTAATGACACATACTGTTTTGCTTTCAGAGGCTTCCTCCTCAACTTTCTTTGGTGGGTTCCAGAGAGTTGACATTACCTAGTAAATAAGCTCAGAGAAATGATTAATTTACTCAGTATGATTTGGTGTTGAAGATGTTGGTTAAAAACATTACTCAGAAATCTGCTCTAGCATAGGAGAGAATAAAAACTAATGATGATGTAGTTTCTAAAATAGTTGTAATAAAACTTTCAACTGCTTATTTAATTCTATTTATTAGTATGTCCTACTGACATAGCCCTTACTTGTCGTCTCCCCATAAATTATATCAGTGAAGTTACTAAATTAAAAAATAATTTATTGCTACACTATATTAACCTTTCTATACAGTTAAAGTGCTTATTTAATATAGGCTGTGCTAAGTATCCTTACTTTTGTGGACTCAGTAAATTTTGTCAAATACATTTTATATGAACATCTTTGAGATTCTTTAGACATGAAAATATTGACTTTAAATGTATTAATTATCTTGTGACCCTGGAAAGTCACTTATTCTCTGGGGAAGTCTCAGTTTAAAACTCTAATATCAGAGATTAGATGACAGGCTACTGGTCATAGACTGGCTTGAGCTTTGTGTAAAACATTATGAATCAGTTGCCTGCACTTAAAATGTGCATTAATAAAAAAATCTGGATTTCTGCACTCTGTTGAAAAAGTAGAAGACTGTAATACATAGTCTCCCATTCTTCTACAGCAACAAGAAGTTCAAGCTGAATAGAGCTTGTACTGAGTAGACATGCATTTTTCATTTCCCTACAATTATTTCAACTGTTTGGCCTCTATATGGCTTTAAGTTCATAATGTTTGGACTAAATATTCTGAAGCGTTCCTGTCAGACCAGGAATTTCAACAATCTTAATGTGTCTAATAAGCACCAATAAATTTAGGTGAAAGGGTTTCCTTTTTTCTTTCCTAAATTGTTTCCATTTGTTGACAAGTTCAGTTAGATTTTGTAAAAAAAAAAAAAAAAAGCTTAAGGGATAGGAATCAACACTACTTTTATCTACTTTATTTTATAATTGAAGAGGCTCTTTGAGTTCTAACATTTATATATTCTTAACTAGAATGCTTCATTTATATATGGAATAAACAATGGAAATTACCCAACTCTTGTTCAACAGGTAGCTTCTGATTTAAATGTTTTGAGAACAAACTCTTACATCATTAGCGAATGAAGATGTGGCTCAGCATGTTTGACTTTCTTTCGAAAGACTAGATCTTATAGCCAGTGATACTGACTGTTTAATCAAAAGGGAGTAACTAGTATTTATAGTTTAGCAACAGGGCCCTTTATAAGGGAAATCAGTTTCTGGATTGTGGACAAAGTTTACTGGTTAGCATGTTTCCAGTGGTCTTGTATGGGTTCTTGTAGCTGTCACAAACACTGACTGCATGTGTTCTCCATTTCCTTTTAGATAGGCCTATATAAGCGGCAAAATCCCATATTTACTTATGGAAAACAAACTTTGAATGTAAATATGGTAAAAATCATATACTCTACATGAATATATGTTAAAACATTCAATTTTATTTTTATCAAAGTTACCTAATCCAGGATGTCTCTTTTCAATTGTAGATTTTAAGAGAGTAGTACTTGCATGATATTTAAAGACAAAAACTGACCAGGAGTTTAGTCCATGAAATTAGATTATGGGTTGGTAGTCACAACTCCACCTATAACACCCCTTTACCGCACAAGTGTCAAAACAGGATCACAGTCATTGTAGAAACAGAAAAGTGCAAGATGTATTAGAACCTGAAATCTTTCTCAAAGATATGAGGTACTTACTAGAATTTTACATACATATTAGGATATTTTAACATGAACTTTTTAAAAAGTGGAATTGAAAGATCCAGAGGAAGAGGTAAGTTTCAATATGACTATTAAGTGTCTACAGAAATGAGGTTCGGATCTGGCATTGAGTTTAAGGTTTACTGTTTTTGCCATGGGAAATTTGTAGATTTTTAAAAAATGTCATTTATCCTTTTGTCCCTGATCTATGTTTTTAATATTTGTGGTGGTAATTATTGTTAAATTAGAAAAAAGCACAGACTGTCTCTGGGAGAGCAAAGGGACTTAAAAAAAAATGTTTTAGGTTGTACATAAGTCCTGAAAGCTGAAAGTAATTCTGGAGTTCTCTGAAAATGTTCAGATTTACTGAAGAATTTTCATTCAGTAACACAATGTTTTGAGGCATACTTTGTTCTAAGATTCTTTTAAATTTTAAAGACAGAGTTTTAGTTTGGCTTCTGTTTGAATAAGCTATGCATATAGTTTAGTTTGAGTATATACTGTCCAACACATATGAAGGTTGTGTAATACCTTAAATATGGAGAATTATTAAGCAATTTCTGCTGTTTTTTGCTACCGATAGTTCCTGAAACTCCTTAGGCTGATGTGGCAAATGAGAGTTCCGAAAATCTAGGCGGCATTTTGGTTCCGAAAATCTTCCATCGTGAATTGGACCATTTTTGGATTCTTTATGGCACAATGCTTTTGTTGTTGCTGGAGCTTAACATTAGGGAAGTTTCCTAAGGAACTCAAACATATTGTTCAACTGCTGAGTTCTCTGAGGTGATTTGTTAAGGAAGACGTACCCGTTCCGTTCCTTTTCTTGTTGCTTCAACGAGGACTTCAGTTGGAAAATGCAGAGATGGACTATAAAACCCATCTCTAAGAACAGATCCATCCCCGGGTATTTTATTCAACAGACCTAAATATAGGGTCCTAAATTTAGAGGGCAAGGTGCTACTTTTAGCTCCCGTTTTCAGAGAACACGCGCTCAGCTGAGGTTCACACGGGTTTGATTTGGCGTCTGGGTAACTAGGAGCTCATGGAGTTTAAGAGTTTTGCGCAGCAAGTGCCCAGGTAACTCAGGTAAAAGTGAGTAAGCCCCTGGAACCCTCCGCTGGGCACCGAAGGCCCGATCGATGTTCTCTTGCATGGGAGAGGTTAAACTTTGCCCAGATCACAGCTGACCCAAGACGCCTTCCTGTCCAAAGTCCGGACACGGTTGGCAGGACGCAGAGGCCCGGGCCCCGCAAGCCATTTTGGGACTGGAATGAAGACGGCGGTCGGTTTCCCTGGGCCGGCGAGCTCCCCCGGGGTACGACGCCATCAAGGCTCCAGTGGGGTGCGGGCAGCAGGCTCTCGAAGCGTTGCAAGATGAAAGCATTGGGGGCTGGGCTTGGGTCAGGCGCCGGCAGTCGGGCAGAGGAGGCGCGTCGCGCTGATCCAGCCGGGCGACCCGAAGGGGCCTCTGGGAGAAGTCTAGCAGCCGCCAGCCCGGTGGTGGGGATTTCTGGGCCGTGGTCTTGACCTTCGGTGGGGATGTCTGGGGCCCGCGCTACAACTCAGGGCCGGAGGCCGAATCCTTCTCTCTCAGGCATGAGCACCTCGATTTCCAAGGATGGGTAGCTTCTCTAGGTAGAGGGCCGGCCCCTTTAAGAGAGAAAGACAGGGACACGTCTACGAACCTCGCGCGAAGAAGGAAGGGAAATTAACAGAGTCCCCGCGACCCCGCCTCCCCGCCGCGGCCCGGCCGAAACCAAACCGCGGGGTAGGGCTGCAAGGAGAGTGTAGATCGCAGACTCGAGCGGGCGGGTTTGAACCTTCGGATCTTCGGGACGCAAAGCGTAACTTGGGGTGGGTGGCGAAGCTCCCCGGGTCGTCAGCATGGACGCTAGAGACACGGCGGCGCCATTCATCTCCAGCACCCCCCTGTAGCCGGCTCCGCAGTGGTCTGCTCCTTTTGCCGGTTGCAGGTTTGGGTTCCGGACCGAACGCTGAGTGTTCTGTTCATTTGTTGTGGCTCGGCCAGGCCCTGGATACGGCTCCGATTGCCAGAGCAGCCTTGGCGCTATGGAGGGGCCCGGGAGTGCCCCTCAGCCGTACCTGGGGCTGCTCCTGGCAAAGCTTCGCTGGGTGAGTCCAGGCGCGATCAGGGTTACTTGGCCCAGGGGTCGCGGGTGCCTCCCGGGGAAGGAAGCTGCAGACTTTGGCTTTGGGGTCTGAGCCGCAGTGGTCGGAGGTCCTGAAGCCAGTTCTCACCTGCCGGCGGGCTGCGGCCTGTGTCCAGGGCAGTGGCCAGGTTCCTAGGGTGTTTGGGCGGGTTCTGATGTGGTATAGGGGGACCTGGAGATCTGGAAGGTGAAGAGAGCATTTGCTTATGTTTAGCAGGACTTTAGAAAGGTGAGTTTCCTGATTCCTAAAATCAATTAGCCTTTCGGTCATGTTATTTATTTTGATGACACTTGGTTTCCCCGACTGTGAGAAACTTGAGGACTGATCCTCTGAAATGAGTTCCTTTTAAGTGCTGAAACTTCGCGTTGCTTGAAAGGACATCTAAGCCTGGATAGGGAATTTGGATTCTAATTCTGCGGTTTCTTTTAAGAAAGAATGCTCTTTTGAGGTGCTTTACCATAAGTGAGATTGTTCATTGCTTCTTTCTGTCTTGTTAATGTAAACGGTCGTGTTAACGTCAAGATCTGGAGATAATGAGCTCTCAGTGTTCACAAGTTCTCTTTCGTTTTTTAAGGTTCAGTTTATAATCAGGTTTCAGGGATTTTTCTCAGTAACTTTACAAGTGTCTTTGTTGACATGTTTAGGGGCATTTATGTCATCGTATTTAAAAAAAAATATTTGCGTTAGAAATGTCAAAAGCCCCTTTAAATATTGGGGCAATTACAATTTTTGGTTTCTTATCATGTAAATTAAAAAGTTCTATTGCCCTGGTATTCACTTACTCAACCATAGTGTGTCTAGTATCTGTGTATGTATAGATGTAAACACAGATGATAGTTACATGGAGCGTCTAGATAGACTAAGACACAGGCTGGGCCACCGCTGTCATACTGTCAGTTACTGGGGAGGAGACAGAAACAGTACGAGGTAGAAATGGATAAAGTGCTTACTGAAGCATACATACAGAGTGCTGAGGAAGTTGAGGGGTGGGAGAGAGGACATTTTCTTGAGTGATTATGAAAGCCTCTGCAGACTGAGTGAATCGCCTAAGCAAGCAATGAAAACAGCATGGTGTGTCCAGCCGACTAGGAGCAGTGTAGGTGGGCTCAGGGAGCAATATGCAGTGATGCTTGTTGGAGACATAAGTAGGTTCCAAGTGATGTAGGTGCTGGAGAGCCTTCAAAGTATTTCAGTGGTTAGACTTTTGGCCTAAATAGATCTTCCTGGTAGGAGGATGTAGGTTAGATGTAAGAACAACCCAACTAGGAGCACAGTGTACGGGAGAGGTGACAGACTTGTCACAGAGGGATAGAGAAGAGGGTGTGCTCATGCTCAGTCGTGTCCGACTCTTTGTGACCCCATAGACTATAACCTGCCAGGCTCCTCTGTCCATGGGATTTCCCAGGTTAAGAATACTAGAGTGGGTTGCCATTTCCTTCTCCAGAGGATCTTCCCGACCCAGGGACTGAACCTGCATCTCCTGCACTGGTAGGTGGATTCTTTACCACTGAGCCACCTGAGAAGCAGAGAAGAGGGTACTGAATGGCAAATATTTAGTAGCGAAGTGCTGTAGTGGGTAGGAGTTTACTGACTGGACACAAAGGATCAGAGAGAGAAAAGTAATGTAGAATGACTCCCAGGTTTCTGGTTATGGCAGCTTTCTCATTCAAAGAGATAGTATATGTAGAAAGGGAAGGATTTGTGGGATGAGAGATAATTTCAGGTTGCACATATTTCCTTCTTCACGAAAAACAACAATAATCAAAACTTAATTTTTGTGGAACTGTCAGTGGAGAGAGACATGGAGAAGGGTAACCAAATTTTGTGCAAGTTGTTCTACTCTATGAACAATATCTTCACCTGGATGATTTTTTTTTTTTTTTGGCTAAATACACTATTCTCACAAAACTAGCCTGGGGCCTAGGATTGCACAGCACTGCTCTACTTTTTAATTTTTTAGATAAAAAAATAATTTATTGAGATAAAATCAGATAACATAAAATTTACCCATTTTTAATGCTGAATTCAGTTATTTTTTTTGGTGTATGTTCACTGCATTGTGCAACCATCACCACAATTTTGGAATACTTTTATCATTCTAAAAAGAAACCCTGTCCTTATTAGTAATCAGTCCCAATTCTTGCCTCACTTCATTCCTTCAGTTCAGTTCAGTTTACTCAGTTCTGTCCAACTCTTTGCAACTCAATGGACTGCAGCACGCCAGGCTTCCCTTCTATCACCACCTCCTGAAACTTGCTCAAACTCGTGTCCATCACGTCGGTGATGCCATCCAACCATCTCATCCTCTGTTGTCCCCTTCTCCTCCGGCCCTCAATCTTTCCCAGCATCAGGGTCTTTTCAAATGAGTCAGCTCTTTGCATCAGGTGGCCAAAGTATTGGAGTTTCAGCTTCAACATCAGTCCCTCCAATGAACACCCAGGACTGATGTCCTTTAGGATGGACTGGTTGGATTCCTTGCAGTCCAAGGGACTGTCAAGAATCTTCTCCAACACCACAATTCAAAAGCATCAATTCTTCGGTGCTCAGCTTTCTTTATAGTCCAACTCTCACATCCATACATAACTACTGGAAAAACAATAGCCTTGACTAGACAGACCTTTGTTGACAAAGTAAGGTCTCTGCTTTTTAATATGTGGTCTAGGTTGGTCATAACTTTCCTTCCAAGGAGTGAGCATCTTTTAATTTCATGGCTGCAATCACCATCTGCAGTGATTTTGGAGCCCAAAAAAATAAAGTCTGACACTGCTTCCACTGTTTCCCCATCTATTTGCCATGAAGTGATGGGACCAGATGCCATGATCTTAGTTTTCTGAATGTTGAGCTTTAAGCCAACTTTTTCACTCTTCTGTTTCACTTTTTTAGTTCTTCTTCGCTTTCTGCCATAAGGGTGGTGTCATCTGCATATCTGAGGTTATTGATATTTCTCTCAGCAGTCTTGATTCCAGCTTGTGCTTCATCCAGCCCAGCGTTTCTCATGATATACTCTGCATATAAGTTAAATAAGCAGGGTGACAATATACAGCCCTGACGTACTCCTTTACCTATTTGGAACCAGTCTGTTGTTCCATGTCCAGTTAACTGTTGCTTCCTGACCTGCCTACAGGTTTCTCAAAAGGCAGGTCAGGTGGCCTGGTATTCCCATCTCTCTGAGAATTTTCCACAGTTTATTGTGATCCACACAGTCAAAGTCTTTGGCGTAGTCAATAAAGCAGAAATAGATGTTTTTCTGGAGCTCTCTTGCTTTTTCGATGATCCAGTGGATGTTGGCAATTTGATCTCTGGTTCCTCTGTCTTTTCCAAAACCAGCTTGAACATCTGGAAGTTCACGGTTCATGTATTGCTGAAGCCTAGCTTGGAGAATTTTGAGCATTACTTTACTAGCATGTGAGATGAGTGCAATTGTGCAGTAGTTTGAGCATGCTTCGGCATTGTATTTCTTTGGGATTGGAATGAAAACTGTCCTTTTCCAGTCCTGTGGCCACTGATGAGTCTTTCAAATTTGCTGACATACTGAGTGCAGTACTTTCACAGCATCATCTTTCAGGATTTGAAATTAGCTGAACTGGACTTCCATCACCTCCACAAGCTTTGTTCGTAGTGATGCTTCCTAAGGCCCACTTGACTTCACATTCCAGGATGTCTGGCGGTAGGTGAGTGTGAGTGATCACACCATCATGATTATCTGGTTAGTGAAGATCTTTTCTGTACAGTTCTTCTGTGTATTCTTGCCACCTCTTCCTAGTATCGTCTGCTTGTAGTTTTCTTTATGCATAGTAGTTTGTACCTCTTACCTGCCTCCCCTTATCTTGCCTTTTCCTGTCTCCCTCTCCCCACTAGTAACCACAGATTTGTTCTTTATAACCTTGAGTCACTTTCTGTTTTGTTGCATTCATTTGTTTTATTTCTTAGATCCCGCATATAGTGATAATTCCAGTGTCTTTCTTCGTCTCGCTGATTTCGCTAAGCTAATACCTTCCAGATTTACTCATATTGCAAATAGCAAAATTTTATCTTTTTTATATATGACTAACATTCCATTGTGTATGTGTGTATACACTACACCTTCTTTTTGAGTTTTTTAAAATTTTTATCTTGTATTGAAGTATAGCTGATTAACAGACAATATTATGAGAATTTCCAGGTGTACAGTGAGATAGGACGCGGCCATACGTATACATGTATCCATTTCTTCCCAGTATTGTGTATCCAAATACTTCTTTTTCTCAGAAACAGAAATAATTAAAAAAAATTATCATTAGTTGTGTATAGTGATGTCACAGTTCTGTGAGCTGGTAATGGGTAATGTAGGGAAAGGCAGAGGTAAAGATCAGGGTAAAGGGTGTTTTTTTGTTTTTTGAAAAGGTATAAAATAAGGTTTATTTAATACAGCTTAATGAACTGTAGATAGCATATATGGATCAGAGTTATAAAAAAGATTTTAAAAAGGAGAGTAGATATTGAAGGGTGTTTTTCTAGATAGAAATGGCCTAAAAAGGAAAGATTTGCCAATAGAGGTTTTGGATTGAAGTCTGGAAAGTCTCAAACCTGATCAAACTTCAGGTTGTTCTTAAAAAAAGGATATTTTTCTACTATTCCCCTACCTTTTACCTTTTTTTTACCCTGTTTATTTTCGACGGCCCTGGATCTTCATTTCTTTGCGCTGGCTTTCTCTAGTTGCAGGGAGCAGGGACTTCTCTTCAGTGAGCACAGGTTTCTCACTGGACGCCTCCCTTGTTGTGGAGCAAGACCTCCAGGTGCTCTGGCTCAGTAATTATGGGACAATGAGGTTAGTTGCCCCGTGGCATGTAGAATCTTCCAGGACCAGGGATTGAACCCGTGACCCTGGCATTGGCAGACAGATTCCTAATCATTCAACCACTCGGGAAGTCCCCTCTTACCTTTTTATGTGATTGAATAATATGTGGGGCCTGGTAACAAAGAAAAAATAACCTCCTTGGATGACAGTGAAGACGAATTGACCCAGAGAAAGGTAAAATACAGAAGGAGCTGCAAAAGCCTTCCGCTGTTTTGCGCTGAAGACTTGCTAGGGAAAGAAGTAATGTGGAAAGGCCATGGTTACAGTATCATGGTCTTTGGAAGAGGAATAATAGACACAGTTACCTGTATTGAGCACCTGTCCTCCGTGTTCAAACAGCATTATTCCCATTACAGATAGAGAAGGTATGGTAGAGGGATTCAGATTCTAAAGCCAAGGTTTCATCAGTAGTTTTTAAACTTTAATAAAGCAGCAGATCCATTTTTTTACCCACTAGGTAAATCTTATATGGAAGCCAATATACACTATGGAAAAAACCTAAAATGATTGAATCAGGATCAGAGTATCTGATTCAGCTTCTTTCTTTGGCCTTCTCTCCTCTTACTCTCACTTTCAGGCATCTCTGTAGAACTCTGGTTTAAAAATCATTACATTTCACCCTACTGTTTTCCTTCATCACTTTGTGATAGTGGTTAATAACAGGTCATTTTATAAAACAGGTTTTAGTAGTGTTTACATGTAAACTTGTACTTATGTTTATGTCTTAGTCTGACAGGGCTGCTGTAACAAAAATGCTGTAGACTGAGTGACTTAACAAACATTTTCATCATAGTTCTAGGGGCTGGGAAAGTGAAAGAAAGAAAGAAAGTGAAGTCGCTCAGTCGTCACTGACTCTTTGTGACCCCATGGACTGTAGCCTACCAGGCTCCTCCCTCCATGGGATTTTCCAGGCAAGAGTACTGGAGTGGGGTGCCATTTCCTTCTCCAGGGGATCTTCCCAACTCAGGGATCGAACTGGGGTCTCCCACATTCCAGGCAGACACTTTAACCTCTGAGCCAGGAACACCATGATAAAGGTGCTGCAGATCTGGTGTGTAGTGATCAAAATTTTTAATGAGTTAATTTTCTTTGTCTTGAAGGCTGTGGCAGCATTGCCTGAAGATATGAGACAATCCAACTTGTATGGTTTTCCATGGGAGTTGGTGATATGTACAACTATTGTTGGATTTTTTGCTGTTCTCTTGTTTTTGTGGAGAAGTTTTCGGTCGGTAAGTAACCAATGCTAGGTATACTAAGAGAATGTTCATTCAGTCTTCAGGTTTAATAGGTAATATGAGAAACCTATCTTTTGTTTTAAGGAAACAGGTTATTGTTTTGTGGGCTACTCATGTTAATGTGTGACTACTAGAAACTGAATATAGATTTTAAGAAATTTTTTTTTTCTTTCATTTTTTGGCCACACCATGCAGCATGCAGGATCTTAGTTCCCTGACCAGGGATAGAACCTATGCCCCACTGCAGTGGAAGCGTGGAGTCTTAACCACTGGACTGCCAGGGAAATCTCTAGAGGAATGTTTTAAAGTGCTGAAATTTAAAAAAATTTCTTTACACGAGTATTCCATACTAACACTAAAACTCTGCCTTTAGTTCTTATTTATTGTTTGGGTGGTGTTTGTTTCTAATAGTCTACTAACGATCTGTGAATATATGACCACCTGGAATGAAGGACATTGACCGTCGCTTATATTTAGATGCTCCTCCTCATTTCAGCCCCTGCCTCCCTGAAGTAGAGGTAATCCTGTTAAAGATCCTGTGTTGCTATTCCAGTGCCTCAAAAAAATTAGGTTTTGTCATATGTATTAAGTACATATATCCTTCAGAAATACAGTAATTTTGCTTAGTTGCATGCCAAATATCATGTTTTGGAACTTGTTTACTCCATCCTATATTGCTAAGATTCATCCATGTTTTTGTCTCATTTTGATTGTTTTAATATTACATCGTGAGAATATACTACAGCTAATTTATATTTTTTATGGTCTTGGGCCTTTGAGTTTCCAGGTTTTTTCTATTACAAATCATGCTGCTGTGTAAATTCTTACACTTGTCTCCTGTTGTGTGTTTGTAAGTTTCTCTTGGGAATATACTGGGTCTGAGATTTACTTGGTTTAGTGCATGCTGGAGGTTCTACTTTTAAAAGTAATGCTAGATTATTTTCCAGTTGTCTGTACCAGTTTATACTCCCAACAGCAATATAGAGGTCCTAGAGATCCATTTGATCTCTGTCCTCTCCAACAGTTATTATTGTTGAAATTCTTTATTTTTGCCACTTGAACGATATCTTACAATGGTTCTAATGTACTTTTTGATCACTAAGGAGATTGAAAACTTAATTTTCTGGCCATATGTATTTGTTCTTCAGGGAAATATTTTGTTTATGTCTTATGCCCCTTTTTCTTTTGAGTAGTTTGTTCTTTTCCTTTTTATTTGTAGGAATTTCTTATGTTTTCTTTAAAAATTTTTTTTAAATTGGAGTTTGACTGCTTTACACTGTTGTGTTGGTTTCTGCTGTATATCAAAGTGAATCAGCTATAAGTATACATATGTCTCCTCCCTCTTGAGCCTTCCTTCCATCCCCTCCTAAAATCTTGATGATATCCTTGTTGATTATGTCTGTTACAGATGTCCCAGTATGAAACATCTTTTCATTGTTCTTAAGATGTTTTCTGATGAGTAGAATTTCTTAATTAAAATAATTTCCATTTAGCACAGAAGTGCTTGATTCATTTTGAGTTAATTTGCTGGTGGGTGTAGGGTAGCAAGTCTGTAATTCCCCATCCTCCTCACCCTACCCCCCAAATAACCTTTTTCCCAGCTTTGTTTATTGAATAGTCTTTCTGTTTCCCATTTGTCTGCCATGCTACGCATGAAAGTGCCACGTGGACGTAGACCTTTTCTGTGCTCTTTTTTCTATTCCACTAAGTATTATTGAAAACAAATACATATGTATCATTCCATATTCATCCATTATTAGGTCAGTCTTGCTAACTGACTAATTTGTAGTGTTCATGTATCACATATTCTTGCTCTTTTTTGTTGTTTCCTTTATCTATTAAGAATAGACAAGTTGGCTGAATTCCACTGTCATGATGGATTTATCAGTTACTTTCTATAGTTTTTTCAATTCTTTATTTACATATTTTGAGAATATTGTGTTAGGTGGATATATGTTTAGAATTGCTATATCTCTTCTTGGTGGGTTAACTGTTTAATCAATATTTAGTGACCCTCTATAACTCTACTGATGCTTTTGTCTTAGAAGTTTCTTATCTAATGTTAATACAGCTAGACCAGTTTTCTTTTTGGTAATATTTATTGTGTCTTTTTTCCATCCTTATGTTTTCCAGTCTTTCTGTGGTCTTTTGCTTAATGTATGTACTCTATGAATTTCTCTTTTTATTTTATTGGAGCATAGTTGATTTACTGTGTTGTGTTAGTTTCAGGCATACAGCAAAGTGATTCAGTTCTGTATGAACTTTTATTATATTTAATCCGAAAATCTCTGTTTTCACTGAGTTTACTGTATCTACATATACTATGATTATTGATTACTGATGTATTTGGACCACTTTCTCCTAGCATACTTTATTAATTTGTTCCACTTTTTATATATTTCTTTTCAGTTCTTTCTACATTCATAAAGTAGATTTTCCTAGTGAAAAGACAAGAACCTTATTTAGTGAACTCTCACATCCCTTGGTCTCTTTCACTTTCCAAACTACTTTCATATTGGTGTAATGTAGAATTTTAGTTCTAAAAATATTTCTCTTTTCTTTTTTACGTTCTTCTCCACCCCTTCTCCATCCCTGAAGACAACAATAAATATTACTAAGATATTTGATCACCAGTAATTGACATATCTCTTGTAGGGTCTTCTGGATTTAATTCTTCTCATATTTGGATACTTCTTTCTTTTTTTTTTTTGGATACTTCTTTCTATATTGTGTTTAATATTGGTCTTTGTATGGCAAATCTTTTGTATGCTTGAGGATGTTTGAATTAAGTCCTTAGGCTGGAACAGCAGTTTGTCTGATTTAAGCATTCTGGGTCTTAAGTTTCATCCTGCTAATATTTTAAAATCCTTTACTTCCTTGTCTTTTTATATCTAATGTTACTTATTGAAAGGTCTCTTGTCAGTTTGGTTCTTATTCATTTGTAAGTGATCTGTTCTTTGTAGAGGCTTTTAATTTGATATCCTTATTTCAATATATTTTGTTTAGGCTTGATTGTTTTCTTATTTCTTCTTTGAATTATCTTAAATATTTAAATATGAAATCTTTTATATTTTTTAATTCTGAGAAGTTTTTTCTGCATTTTACTTTTTTTTTTTCCTCTTTGGGACTGTTGCTATTTAAGATACTGGCTTTTCTCACTTCCCTATCTCTTTAACGATTTTTTTTCCTTTTTTTTTTAATGGTTTACTGTTAACTTTTTTTTTAATTTAAAGAAAAAATTTATTGAAGATCTGAAAAACAATTTCTAAAAGATTAGCTTTTCCAGAAAACTGTAGCTATAAAATGCATTGCGTCTGTCATGTTAAAATGTGCATTAGACACAAATACAAAAACCATGAAACAAGCCACCTTTCTTCAGCAATCTGAGCAAAGATAAAATGCCTAAGGAACTACTTGGATGGATGACTCGCAGAGAATGGGCTCTTTACTTTAAGCACTGTAAGAAAAAGGGAGCACAAATAGATGAATGTCTTCAGTTATATACACTGAGTTGGTCCTTTGGCACTAGGAATCAGAGCATTCTGTCATATGGCATTAACACATATTATAAAAGTGCGTTGTGTCAAAGGAATAGAAACCACCAGTATTCAAAAGCAGCTTTGTCAACTAAGCAATTAAACATTCTACAGTATGTCTCTCTGTTGTCCATCACTGTATACTCTGGCACCGACTTTGAAATGAAAAAAGGAAAGAAAAAAGGAGCTGTTTTATTTTCTCTGTTTAAAATCAAACAGAAAAAGAAGAATGGAACTGGAGGAATCAATCTGCCTGACTTCAGACTATACTACAAAGCCACAGTCATCAAGACAGTATGGTACTGGCACAAAGACAGAAATATAGATCAATGGAACAGAATAGAAAGCCCAGAGATAAATCCACGAACCTATGGTCACCTTATCTTTGACAAAGGAGGCAAGGATATACAATGGAAACAAGACAACCTCTTTAACAAGTGGTGCTGGGAAAACTGGTCAACCACCTGTAAAAGAATGAAACTAGAACACTTTCTAACACCATACACAAAAATAAACTCAAAATGGATTAAAGATCTAAATGTAAGACCAGAAACTATAAAACTCCTAGAGGAGAACATAGGCAAAACACTCTCCGACATAAATCACAGCAGGATCCTCTATGACCCACATCCCAGAATTTTAGAAATAAAAGCAAAAATAAACAAATGGGACCTAATGAAACTTAAAAGCTTTTGCACAACAAAGGAAACTATAAGCAAGGTGAAAAGACAGCCCTCAGATTGGGAGAAAATAATAGCAAACGAAGCAACAGACAAAGGATTAATCTCAAAAATATACAAGCAACTCCTCCAGCTCAACTCCAGAAAAATAAATGACCCAATCAAAAAATGGGCCAAAGAACTGAACAGACATTTCTCCAAGGAAGACATACAGATGGCTAACAAACACATGAAAAGATGCTCAACATCACTCATTATCAGAGAAATGCAAATCAAAACCACAATGAGGTACCATTACACACCAGTCAGGATGGCTGCTATCCAAAAGTCTACAAGCAATAAATGCTGGAGAGGGTGTGGAGAAAAGGGAACCCTCTTACACTGTTGGTGGGAATGCAAATTAGTACAGCCACTATGGAAAACAGTGTGGAGATTTCTTAAAAAGCTGGAAATAGAACTGCCATATGACCCAGCAATCCCCCTTCTGGGCATACACACCGAGGAAACCAGATCTGAAAGAGACACGTGTACCCCAATGTTCATCGCAGCACTGTTTATAATAGCCAGGACATGGAAGCAACCTAGATGCCCATCAGCAGATGAATGGATGAGGAAGCTGTGGTACATATACACCATGGAATATTACTCAGCCATTAAAAAGAATTCATTTGAATCAGTTCTAATGAGATGGATGAAACTGGAGCCCATTATACAGAGCGAAGTAAGCCAGAAAGATAAAGAGCATTACAGTATACTAACACATATATATGGAATTTAGAAAGATGGTAACGATAACCCTATGTGCAAAACAGAAAAAGAGACTCCTATGTATAGAACAGACTTGTGGACTCTGGGAGAAGGCGAGGGTGGGATGTTTCAAGAGAACAGCATTGAAACACGTATATTATCTAGGGTGAAACAGATCACCAGCCCAAGTTGGGTGCATGAGACAAGTGCTCGGGCCTGGTGCACTGGGAAGACCCAGAGGGATCGGGTGGAGAGGGAGGTGGGAGGGGGGGACCGGGATGGGGAGTACATGTAAATCCATGGCTGGTTCACTTCAGTGTATGACAGAAACCACTACAATGATGTGGAGTGGTTAGCCTCCAACTAATAAAAATAAATGAAAAAAAAAAAAATCTCTCAGTAAATAGCCTAGGGAGTCCAAGGAGAAAAAATTGGAGATTCTAAAATGTAGAGGGAGTACTGTAGCTAGGAATTTAGGGCTAGTGATTCTTAATCAAGGCAAGCAGTTATTAAATAGCATCTAGAAATAAAATAGCATATCTCACTCATCAGCCTAAGTTTAGGGCAGAGTTTGAGTTTCTAACAAAGATTTTTGTGTTAGAGAAGTTGATTTATCATTAAGTAAGAATTTTCCACAGCAAAAGTTCAGTTGAAGAGAGGGCAGAGGCAACATTTTTGGGAAAAGACTGACAGAAATAACATTAGGAGTGAACTATTAGACCCTGAGCAAAACTGTTAGTTAAGGTAAATAAGAAAGAAGGTTTGATTAAAAAAAAAAATCTAAGGAGTAGAGATCAGAGTAAATGGTTACGAGAGGGGTAAGTGTTGGCTGCTGCTGCTACTGCTGCTCTTGCTAAGTCGCTTCAGTTGTGTCCGACTCTGTGCGACCCCATAGACGGCAGCCCATCAGGCTCCCCCGTCCCTGGGATTCTCCAGGCAAGAACACTGGAGTGGGTTGCCATTTCCTTCTCCAATGCGTGAAAGTGAAGTTGCTCAATCGTGTCGAACTCCTCGCGACCCCATGGACTGCAGCCTACCAGGCTCCGTCCATGGGATTTTCCAGGCAAGAGTACTGGAGTGGGTTGCCATTGCCTTCTCCGGGAAGTGTTGGGGGTGGAACAAAATGGGTAAAAGGGATCAATTGTATGATGACAGATGGAAACTAAATTTTTGGTAGTGAGTACACTGTAGCATATATTAAAGTAGAAATATACTGTTGTACACGTGAAGCATGCAATGCTATAGATGAGCATTACCTCAATACAAAATAATTCTTTTAAATTTGTTTTTGTTGGTTGGAGGCTAATTACTTTACAATATTGTGGTTTTTGTCATGCATTGACATGAATCGGCCATGGATTTACATGTATTCCCCATTTTAAAAAATCTAAAGGGTAGAAGCCACTAAATTTTTTCAGCCTTTTTTCTGCTTATCAGGATTAGTATGAACACTGTGCAGGGTTTGTATCTAAAATAGGTGTTGTTTGGACTAGCTGGATAACTGGGGGTAGGGATGGGGATATGTGGGTCCATTAGGGCTGGTTAGCATTGTCAAGGTATCAATGGATAGCATATTGGATGACTGGGTTTTCATAATTATGTGAAATAAACTCATTAACTTTCTCATGGTCCAAAAAAAAAAAAATAAAATCAAACAGAAAACAAACATCAATTTTGTTATACACGAACATTTCCAAAGTACATTGTTTGTATAAGAGAAGGACTAAGAAACAAAAAGCTGTTTATAGAGATCAAATGTGGGTGGGTGCACACACCTCACATGGCTTTCCGATGATACTCAGAGGGAGCCACTTCATAATTGCTGGCACTAAACAAAATTGCAGAGTTCTTTGCCAGGTATTTTAGGAAATCGTGAAGATTATTCAGTAATAAAGCAAGGCTCTTCTCATCCAGAGGTGTATAGGCAAACATTGCTCCAATTCTTACGAAACAGTCTCAGGAGATATGGTGGCGTGTACCCCTGGGACATGGGTGCATCAGGGTGGTCTGCAAGGATCTCAGCGTACTGGGGCCTCTCAAATTTGTAGAGCAGTTGAGTGCCCAGCACCACACTGAAGTACTCCTGTATCCCAGCCCCAACCTCATTGACTGCATACTCTATATTATCTGTGTTTCCTCAAGATTTCTTGTAATTTGCATAATCCTCTAGAATGGAATGCACATTCTTCTTGGCAGGAAGATAAAAGAGCTGTTTTTGCTGTGTAATTAAGTCCCAGTCATCAACAAGCCATGGTTTCAGTTCTTCAGGAGTCTTTAACTTCAACTCTGCTCATGAATGTTGCCTCATTTTCAACAGTAGGATCCACTCGAGCCCTTTTCTTGGAAGGAGACTGAGGGGTCTCCCTGGTGCTGCCACCATCTCCGTTTCCAGGTGTCTTTGTTCTTTTTTGTTTCACTGGAGTGTTTCTCTGCTGCAGCCCAGCAGTCTTCTTTCCAGGGGCAGCCCCTCGCATCTTCCCCTCTGCATACTGCTTCTCATTGGCTTTTTGAAGTTCTCGTCCTTTCTGCAGATTGACATCCACGTACTTGAGTAGCCTGCTTTCTGGAACCCATTCATCCCAATTTTTATTCCAACCACTGTAATGTATAAAGTATTTCACTTGTTTATCCTTCATGGCAACTTTTATACACTTTGCTTTATAAAGAAGAGGCCCATGGAAGCACAGCACTCTCTCACCCTCCTGGAATTTAGGCTTCGGGTCCTGCTTCGGCACCATTTGTAACAAATTCGCCGCTGCCGCCTCCTCCTCCTGTTACTTTTTGAGAGAGTTTCTGATCTGCTTCAGTTCACTAGTTGTTCCTCATCTAACTAATTATACTGTACCTTGACTTTTAAATCTTGTTTCATTTAATTTTATTCCTGTATATCTTCTGTAGATTATCTAAGTCGCCATTGTTTTTTAGTCCTAAGCCTGACCCCCTTACAAATTGAAATTTTTCCTTCATTGTTTGAAAGAGAGGTTAAAGAAGAAAAAAGTTTTTTTTACTTTAAAATCAGCAGATCCATGGCCCCATGGTAACGATTTTCAAATTTTGTTATTTTAGATATTAATACTAGAGGAGATGATAGTAGGGGTTTCTTTAAGTAGTTTGTTTTGGGGTCAAATATGTTTGAGGAGCAGTGGGCTAAATGAAATGAAAACGGGTATCTTTAAGGTAGAGTTATTTCATATCCTTTATTATGCTAATAAATAATGTGTATCTTCAATGGGGGGACTTTAATATGCAGTATTATTTTCTCAATGGAAATAGAACACTTTTTGGCTAGCTTACATTTATACTAAAGGTAATAAGAAACACTTTAAGTTGTCAGTAGCAGTTAAATAAGTAATATTTGCCTGAATGTATGTTTGTTTTAATGTAATTTTTGTTAAAAATTTGTTTCAGGTTAGAAGCCGGCTTTATGTGGGTAAGTTCTTTTTTCTATTTGAGATCACATCTTTTTTGTTTGTAATTGAATAAACTTAAAAACATGATAACATTAACTCTTTTTTAGGGAGAGAGAAAAAGCTTGCTGTAGAACTTTCTACACTAATTGAAGAAAAATGTAAACTGCTTGAAAAATTTAGCATTGTTCAAAAGGAGGTAAGACATTTTTGAAAATGTTAACATTCATGTTAGGATCCTCTAGGATCCTTACTTTTCAGAGCAGGTATTTCTGTATAAGTTTAAGATTATAAATGCTTTGTTTGCAAAGTATGAGAGTTCAGTTGCTTTCATATTACCAATCTAAATTGTAACCATTGTGGTTACATTGGCCATTTGGATATAACCTTTTTGTTTCATGTTGTCTAGTTAATTTTTTTCACATTTTTAAAATGTGAAGAAGTATGGTTATCTTTTTCCTTTTGATATATAGATTTTTCCTATATTTTGGATACAGGTCCTTTGTCAGATACATGTATTACAAATATCTTCTTCTACTCTGTGGTTTGCCTTTATATTTCAAGTGGTATCTTGGTAAGCAGAAGTTCTTATTTGTACCAGTCTAATTTGTCAGTCTTTTCTTTATGATGACTGCTGTCTGTTTCCTACTTAAATTTTTTTTTTGTCTACTCAAGAACATGAAGATATTCATCTGTGTTATCTTTTAGAAACTTTTATCTTTTTTACTTTTCTTATTTAGTCTTTTTATTAGTTTGATGGGACTGTCATAACACAGTACCACAGACTGGATGACTTACGTAGAAATTACATTTTTCATGGTTTTGGAGGTTGGAAGTCCAGGATCAAGGTGATGACTGGTTTGGTTTGTTCTGAGGCCTGTCACTTTGACATAACCGGTCAACCTCTTAGTCAATTCTCACATCGTCTTTTCTCTGTGCAGGTGCGTGTTTCTGACGTTTCTCTGTGTCCAAATTTCCTTCTCTTGTAAGGGTACCAGTCAGATTGGATTAGAGTCTATCTTAATCCAAGGGGCTCATCTTAACTTAATGCCCTTTAAGAGGCCTGTCTCCAAATACAGTCACATTTTGAGGTATTGGAGCTTCAACAAACAAATATTGAGGGGAAACTCAGTTCAGTCCCAAATTAATCAGTCTTTAATCCATCTAGAATTGACTCTGTGATGTGTGATTTGGTGGTTAGTATTTCACATTTTTCATATGGCTGTTGAATTTACCAGTACCATTTATTAAAAGGCCATCTTTTCCCTTTGTTCTATAGTGTTGTTGTTAAGCCTTGTTAAATCTTGTGACTGTGTATATCTGAGTCGGTTTCTATAATATTTCCTGTTCTGTTGGTATATTATATATATATACACATATATATGTATATATTTTTGCACCAGTACCATGCTTTTTAAAATCTACCTAGCACATCTTGGCATCTGACAGTGTAAATGTCCAGACTTGTTTTTCAAGATTTTGTCTTTTCATATAAATTTTCAATCACTTCATCAGTTTACACATGCACATAGCCTGCTAGGAATTTGGGATTACATTGAATATATAGATTAATTTGGAGAGAATTTACATTTTTACAATGTTGAGTATCTATTGATGGACCATGATATATCCTTCTAGTTATGTCTTTTTAAAATTCTCAGTATTGTTTATACACTCTTGTCTTGAGGTCTTGCACATCTTTTCTTAGATTTATTCCCTGGTATCTGAGGATTTTGAAACTATTATAGTATTTTTTTTTAATAGCTCTGTTGGGATGTAATTCACATACTGTACTGTTCACCCATTTAAATTATACAAATGATTCTTTGTATAATTAGTATATTTTAGTATACTTTTAGTATTCTTAAGTATATTTAGTATACTTTTGGTATATTTACCACAAAATGTTTTTGAACATACTTTTTACACTTTAAAGGAGCCCTGCACGTCTTAGCTGTCACCCTTCACCCAATCTCCCCTATTCCCAAGCCCTAGACAGCTTACCTACTTTCTATTTCTATAAACTTGCCTACTCTGGATTCCATTTCACATAAATGGAATGATATAACATGTGCTTCATTGTGACTAGCTTTTTAAACCTAGCTTAATGTTTTCAAGACTCATCCATGCTGTAGCAAATACCAATACTATATATATACTTTTTTTTTGCCAAATAATATTCCTTACTACAACTGACATATTCATTTTTCAATTGATGGTCATTTGGGTTAGTGTACTTTTTGGCTGTTATAAATGATGCTGCTATGGACATTCTTGTACAAATTTTCGGGTGAATATATGGTTTAAATTATTTTGGGTATATACCTAGGAGTAGAATTGTTGGATCTATATTTAACTTATTGAAGAACTGCCATATTGTGTTTCACAGTGGCTGTGCCAGTTTATATTTCCACATTTTCTCCACATCTTTTCCAACACTTGTTATTATGTCTTTTTGGTTATAGCCATCCTAATGGATGTGAAGTGTTGGCTCAATGAGGTGTTTGTTTTTTTAAATTTTATTGATGTATAGTTGATTTATAGTGTTGTTCAGTGAGGTTTTAATGTACATTTCCCTCATAGCTAGTGATTTCAACATCATACAGATGGGGTTTTCTTTTTTTAATCAGTCTAAAAAATCTTTTTATTTAATTAGACTATTTAGTTCATTTGCATTTAATATAATTTCTAATTTATTAGGGGTCAAATCTACCATCTTAACTATTTTCTATTTGACCCATCTGTCCCACATGCCTTTTTCTTTTCTCTTTTTTTACTTTTGGGTTGAAAAGTTTTTTTACTAATTCAATATTTTCTACATCAGTGGGTTTGTTAGTTATGGATTTTTTTTTTTAATGGTTACCTTCAAGATTATAGCATATATTTTTAATTTATTGAGTCCTAATATAAATTTGTGCTATTATAATACTGCTTAATTGATAGTACAAAGATCTTAGAATGCTTTAATTTCACTTGCCCCCTTTCATGTATATGCCATTGCATTATATTTTGCCTTTATATTTATATAAACCCCCAAATAATTTTATTATTCTTTGAGACAGTCAAGATGCATTTGGATTAGTCCACACATTTATTCTTGCCATTACTCTTCGTTCTTCCTTTCCTTTCCAGCTTCCATCTGGGGTGATTTTTCTAGAGAATAGAAGGAGCGCCTGTTCTTTTTTTCCTGTAATATGCTGTCGATAATTCTGTTTTGTCTGATCATGTCTTTACTTCTCTGTTTGGTGTAATGTTCCTTATGAAGTCGGAGTTGGCAGCTATTTTCTTTAAGCACTTTGGGGACACCTCATTATACTACTTTTTTCCTGGCATGTTGTTTGTGGGTCAAAGTCAGCTCTAAGTTTTATTGAAATTTGGTGTTATGTCTTTTTTGTATTATTTTTCTCTTTCAATTTAAAAACTTGAAGTATAGTTTTCAGTAGTTAAATGGACATTCTTAAATACGCAGTTCTGTGAATTTTCACAGGTGTATTCACCCAGGAATCTACCACCCTCATTAATACATAAAACATTTCTATCACCCTTGTAATTCCCTTGTCCTCATTTTCATTCAGTCCCATACCCCTGCCAGCAACCACTGTTTATATTTTTATCTCCATAAATTAGTTTTTGTCTATTTTAGAGTTTCTGTAAATGAAATCAGACTTTTTTGTGTCTGGCTTTTTTTCAGGTAGCATTGTATTTTTGAGATTCACTATGTTGTTGCATATAGTAGTTTTTTTTTTTAACTTGAAAGTAAATTTGCATTATATCAACATACCACATTTCTTTTATCCATTTACCTCTTAATGTGGTTATTTCCATCTTTGGCTATTATGAATAAAGTTGCTGTGATCATTCTACCTTTTTGTGTGTGTGGGTATATGTTTTTATTTTTCTTTTGTAAGTATCTCAGAATTAATGGGTCATATGGCAGGAAGTGTATAACTTTATAAGAAACTATGTGCCTATTTTTATGATTTTCTCTTTATCTTTGATTTTCAGCAGTGTTGTTAGTTGTGTGGATGTGGTATCTTCTGTTATTCATCCCTGGGCTTCATGATGTTCCAGAATCTGTGGCTTAATGTCTTATTTGTTTTGTAATTCTCTTGATCATAACCTTTTCAAATATTGTTTTTGCTCCTTTTTTCTTCTCTTGCTGGGATTCCAAATACTTGTATTTTAGCCTTTTACTATATCCCACATATCTGTTATGTTCTCTGGATTTCTTATCTTTTTCTTCACACTTCAGTCTGGATATTTTCTTCTGCTCTAGCTTCCATTTTACTAATTGTCTTCACCTATGCCTAATCATCTTTTAAACCTTCTTAATTTCATCTATTGCCTTTTTCGGTTCTAAAGGTTGTGTGGTTCTTTTTCTTTGGCTCAATGATTGTCTTTTAGTTCCTCTTATATATTAAGCTTACTTATTTTGTTGTCTGAAGGAGAACTCTGTTACCTGACCCTGTAAGATTGTTTTTTTCTCTTGTTCATTTTTTCTCTTGATTCTCACACAGATCTTATTTTCTTGAATGCCAGATTTTTCCATGTTGAGTATCTAATAGTATAATAAAAATTATTGTGGTAAATTTGAAGCTGTGGATGATGCTGTCTTTCTGCAGTGCGGTCTTACTGTTGCTTCTCATAGAATTGGTGGGTCAGAGGGCAGGTTTGGAATAAAATTTATAGTACTTTTACTTATAGTGTTGCTTTTTTTCAGTATGAAGGCTTAGAGTCATCTTTAAAGGATGCCAACTTTGAAAAGGAGTCAACAGAAGCACAAAGTTTGGAGGTAAGAACAAATAGATACTTACAAAAGTTAAAAGAAAGGTTCTTACTAAATGACAAACTTTAAAAGTCATGTATCTTTTCAAAACTCACATTTCATGGATATTAAAACTTAAAAAAATTTAAGTTAAATATAGGAAATAGAATGTTAGTAAGTAGCATAAGGTATTTTAAAATTTTGAGCCTTTGTTGATGACTTGTTTTGAGTGAAGCATATTCAGTTCATTGTCATCTAGAGTTGTATAGACACTCTTAATTCTTCATTCCTGGGAAATGCATTAGGGTAATCGTTCCTTTTTTGGCTCAATTTGCCTCAGGACGGAAAAATAGAATTCATTTTCATAAATTTAGGAATAATTTGAAATAGTAAATAATGTAAGTTGAGGCAGTTCTTGCCTTTACCTCATCAAAGGGTTAGGAGCTGACTAGAATGTTACAGACAGTGATGTGCTGGTATCTAAAAAGTAGGAGCCTTTATTCGTAACATCTGCTGAATTCTGTTGTGTATATACTCCTACTACGACCAATTTCAAGTACCAAACGATGCCGCAGAATGTCGAGTTTGGAAGAAATACAGAGTTGGCGCTCCTGAGCCAGGTTTGATTTTGGCTAATAGTAAGGAAGGAAAATGTCAAGGTATGACAGATAAGGGTTTGTAATAGGAGTGTCCTGCTACTGTTTAGAGATGGAAGTGTTGTAAAAAGCATGCTCATGTTAAAGTAGAAAATTATGGACTTTGTACCTTTGGTATATATGTTCAGTTTAGCTTCGCAATTCTCTGTCACTGATGTTTATAATCATCAAAGCATATGGATCAGAATTTCCTAGTAGCGTCCAAAGGAAGTCATAAATTGAATTCCAAGTAAAATTGAATTCTTAACCTTTTCTTTCTTCATTTTACCAATTAATATTCTCAAGAACTTGTTGAAATTATTATATTTTATTTGTTGACCCTCTGTTTAACTAGTGTTCTGATAGTAACTTATTAGATTGAATAAAATAGAATTTCACACGGAATTTAGCATGCTGACAAAAGAACAAAAACTGAAGCGCAAATATATTTACTTAAGCTTTGCAATGTTGTGGATAAAATAAAGCACACCAATTTATTCTTAGGCATTGAATTTTTACTTTAAAATGAATATTTTAGAAGTTTTTCTCTAATTGTAGTAATTTTTTGAAACATACAGTTTATTTTCAAGATTGGTAAGCATAGTTGAATATAAACTATAATGTGGTATAGTTACAAAAAATTGCTGTTTGAATCTGTAGATAAAATCCAAATATCAGGGTAATTTTGATTCAAGTCAGAGAACTTGTATCATCAGATAGTCAAATCTGGGGAAATATATGCATATATATAAATATGCTTTTTAACCAGTATGATATAGTATGTACTTATTCTAGTTTTATTTTGGCCTGCATTAAGTTCTTTGATTCTTTTGGTTTATTTTTCTTTTAACAAGTTTGTTGAAGGATCACAAATATCAGAGGTATGTTTATTACAGTATTTAACTTCCAACTGGATAATCCAATAACTAATCATTTTAAATTAAAAAGGCCACAGAAAATAAGTCTTAATTCAGTGTAGAATATTATCTTGATTGTCTTTTGAGTTTATTTTTGATTTTATGTATTATATGAAATTGGGTTTTTTCTCATTGCTTCTTTTATAATGCTTTAGAGCAGAAGTTGGCAAACTAGGCTCTGAGCTCTCCACCTGTTATTATAAATAAAATTTTATTGAAACACAGCCATGCTCATTCATTTATGTATTGTCTTTGCTTTCTCGCTACACATGTATATGACTTTAGCTGGGACAGAAACTGCATGGCTTTCAAGCCTAAAATATTTACTATCGCTTTATAGAAAAAGTTTGCTAACACCTGCTAGTATTGCTGTTATTTCAGTGTTATAAAAATGAATGAATATTTGAACTAAACTTACTTAATTTACAGTGTGTGTATTTGATTACATTCATCTGATTTATCTTGACTAAATATTCCCATGACTGTCTTATAAAGTTTTATTCCTCTTTCAGGCATTCTGTGAAAAATTGAACGGATTCAAATCTGAACTTGAGGATGAAATACTCATTCTAGAAAAAGAGTTAAAGGAAGAGAAATCTAAACATTCGAAGCAAGATGAGTTGGTAGGACTTCTGTGTTTGAGGAGACTATAGGAAAAAGAAAGTTATTGAGTTAAAAAAAAGTTATATGATCTCGGTTAAAGTATTACATGCACTGTAAAAAAAAAAAGCCCGAAGAATAGAGGAGGCTATAAAGTGGAGAATAAAATTTTCTGGGTCCTCTAGCTCTTTTCATTTGTTAGAGGTTAACATTATTATGTTACATTTCTTGCATATTCTTATAGAAATTTTCTGTTTGCACTATGGAATAGCTCACATAAATCATTTAAGTTGAATAATCACATACATAGTAGTTTTGTTTTTTATTACTCAGAAAGTGTTTTAGGAAGTTAAACTTTCCTTTATTTGTCTTTATATTAAAATCTGTCTTAAGGATGATCTTAATGTGTGAGATTATTTAGTAAGATATAATGCTAGTAGCCTTCTTATGTATAACTTAAATGTTAAGAAATATTAAAGATGAATTGAAATATTGTTGTTATATAACTTTCATATAAAATCCCTTTAAGCATATAGCTGTTAAATTTTCTTAATTTGAATCCTCCCTTTTGGAGCAAAAGTGTTAGGTTAATAATATACTTGATAGAAATAGCATCTTGAAAATTGGACAAGTTCAGTAAATACTTGTTGATTGATACTGTCTTTTTAGATGTCGGACATTTCAAAAAGGATCCAGTCCCTAGAGGATGAATCCAAGTCCCTCAAATCACAAGTAGCTGAAGTAAGTTGAATTATTTTAGTAGATCTATTGCTTTAAAAATCATTAACATTTTGCTACTACTTTTATGATTAAAGAATTAAATACTAGAATTTAGATACAGGTTTTAAAACATTGTGTTTATTTTTGGCTGTGTTGTCTTTGTTGCCATGCGGGCTTTTTCTCTAGTTGCGGGCAGTGGGGGCTCTCTCCAGAAGCCATGCACAGGCGTGTCAGCACAGGGACTTCTCATGCTACAGAGCACAGGCTCTAGGTGCACGAGCTTCAGTGGTTGTGGTGCGTGGACTCAGTAGTTGTGGCTCTTGGGCTCCAGAGTACAGGCTCAATAGTTGTAGCAGACAGGCTTAGTTGGTCCTTGGTATGTGCAATTTTCCTGGATCAGCGATTGAACCTGTGTCTCTTGCATTGGCAGGCAGATTCTTTACTGCTGAGCCGCCAGGGAGGCCCTAGATACAGTTGTAAAATACACAGTATCTGAGGAGAGTTCATTTTTTTCATTGAATAGTATTTATTGAGCCATAGCTGTATGTACTATTCACTGTTGAAGGTGATTGGCACTTAATATTAGTAGACAAAATGGACAGAAAGGCTCTTGTGGATTTTAAGTTCTAGTAAGAGAGACAATAGAAAGTTAATGAAATTTGCCAGGTAGTACATAGAAGGTTACAAGAGGTTAAATCATTTGTCCAGAGTCATGTGGCAAGTTAGTGGCAGAGCAACTAGACCTTGAGGGACTAGACCGTGAGTTTAAGTCAGCCTTTTTTCTGCTATAGCATGCTGCCTCTCCTATTAATATTGGCATATTTTTAATTTTAATCCCATGTTTCAAGGAGTATGTATAAAAAACGGCTATCAAACCAATTCTTGTAATCTCACTATGTTGTATTTTACTTAGGCCAAAACAACCTTCAAAATATTTCAGATGAATGAAGAACGACTTAAGATAGCTATAAAAGATGCTCTGAGTGAAAATTCTCAACTTCAGGAAAGCCAGAAACAGGTTTGTACTGAAAAGGGACTCCTCAACTTGTGAGTGTATGGTTATAAATGTTCCAGGCATACTCATGACTGACTCATGCTGGGGGCAAAAATAGGCTGTTTCTGGAGACCACAAGAGCAGGGCAATCTCTATGTATCCTATGGTGTCTCTTTTGTATAGCATACAAAGGCCTATATTCCTGGAACTGTGTTCCCCCAGGAGTGAAAGTAAGCCTGGACACTCACTATTTTGATAATAATAGCAAATAGCGTTTAGCACAAATCTTCAAAGCCAGATTGTAGGAGAGCAGAGAAAACCATGACAGTTATTGCAGCTAGGGGCCTAAAGACAGAAGCAGTTATTTAAGGTGGCAGATATTGTAAGGATTTAACTTTTATCTTCTTCCTCCTCACATATGTAGACACTGCCACATACCCAAACATATTTCTTCTCGTACTGTTCTCCCAATACAGTTAGAATTTTTCAGTGGGAAATTTTTTAAAATTATAACATTATTTATAATTTTCTAAACATTGTTCACAGCTAAGCCACATGATGTGCTCTGATTACATATTCTGTTTCACTCAACTTTTTGCCATAGAGTTAATAATTGTCTTGCTTTTTTTATACCTATCTGTAATTTATCTGTATTTCAATCATAAATGTCTCTTTTAGGGATTATGTAAATATTTTGTTTATGTGTGCAAAGGCTTTGGTTAATCTACTAATTTCATTTTTTTCCCTGAAGCAGTACTTTCTGGGGTCTTCCATCCTAGTTCAGTAGGAACTTGTTCTCTAGGTCTGTTATATTTCTGCCGTTCTGAGATTTCACTTCTCCCCGTATCCTTTGACTTGTCTGTCTTCTGTGTTGGATCTTCTATTTCTTATGTCCTGTGTGTGCTTTATGTGGTAAATTCCCTTGATTATCTTCCTGAGGAAAAGTATAGGAGGGAACTTTTTAAGAAGTTTCATAACTTAGAATGTCTTCTCTCATACTGCTAACATTTTGGTTGGATACCTTCTGGGTTCCAGTTTTTCTTTTCTTGAACTTTTGACATTATTGCTCTATTGTCTTCATTTTCCAGACTCACTTGTAAGAAGTCAAGTGCTGTTTGGATTACTGAACCTTTTTTGTGACCTACTCTTTTCCTCTGTGGAAAATTTTCGTATCTTTCATTATTTCCACTTCTCTGAAATTTCACAATGATATGGCTTAGTGTGGGTCTTTTTCCATATATTTGTTGGATACACTCTGTCTAGAAACTCTTGATTCAGCTCTGGGAAATTTACTGGAATTATTTCATTCATTTTGGGGTGTATTTTGTATGATGTATGAAATTATTTTAAAATGTCTTTTTTGGTTTCTTTATGACTATGAAACTTTTTTTCACTTATTCTCTGATATTTTTTACTTGTAAGAATTCTTTGTTGTTTTGCTTATGCTTTTTACTGGTTTCATGGATGCAATGTCTTACTTTGCTGAGCATGTCATGTTTTTTTCCCCCTACTCTTTTGATTTTTTTTTTTTTTTTTTTTGCTGAGTTGCCTTGTTTTCTTTGAGTTCCTTTGTTTTCTGTTTTAGTCTATGTCTTTTGTCTAAGAGTTTCTTTTTTCAGATGTTTGGTGATTCGTGGTTGTCTATTTATTTAATAGTAGGGGTCTCCATATCTAGTTGGAAGCCCTGTGTGTGTTTCTTATGGGCCTTTCTACATAGTAATCTGGCTAGGGTATTTCTTTGGAGGGTGTCCAGATGTTGGTATTCAAAGACCATTTTCCACAGGGATGAGTCCTCCACAGTTCCTATTTGGGAGGTATAGGGCTGTTGGTGAACATTGAGGTAAGCAGCTTAGTGAGGTAAGGAGCTGGTATCTCACTGTTCAGTAAATCAGTTTTCACTTAATGCTTTTATGCTTACAGCTTATTACTCACACCTTTACCTGGGTCAGGTGTCCCAAAGTTTCAGATTCTAGCTCTCCAGAGAATAAAACCCTCCAGGCTTTTGCCAGATGTGTGTATGTCTGTGTAAGTGTGTGTGCACATGCATGTGTTCGTGCATGTAAAAGAGGGAGAGAGGGATGAACTGAGAATTAGAATGTTTGTATATGTATGTGTGGGGAGAACATGGGATTTTCTCTAATTGGTTTTCATACAGACCTTTGAGCAGTACTTCTCTTTTCATTCCAGTTATAAACTAGTACATGAGCCTTCCTGGTTTGTATCAAGTCAACACTGCTTTTAGACTCTACCATCTTCTGCCTTAGATTTCAATTGTCTGGTCTTTTACTATGCTTCCATCAGTTTCCACTTCTGGAACTATCTTTTTCTTCATCACATTTGTCTTTTTCCTTGTGGGTTTATGCTTTTTTCCCCCCTTACACCTCTTCACTGTCATCTTAGTAGATTTCAGGAGAAAGTGGCTGATATCAATACATCCTGTGTTAATTTTGCTATGTTATCAATATAGTCAAAAGTGACCTTCTGTACATTGAAAATATTTCATCTAGATTGTCTTACTCTTTATAGCTGCTTTAATCTAACTCCTTTTTGGTCATCAGAGTTCTTGAAATAAACTATTCTGTATGCACTGACTCCATGGTCTAACACATTTCTTCTTTAACCTAATAAGACTGCTTGCTTTGTATGCAGTCTCCTTAGTAACTCACTAAAGATCAGCCAGTCACCAAATCCAAGTTTTATTTTTCAATTCTTATTTATTTTTAATCTGTCAAAATTGTCTTATTTTACTAACATACATGGAGAAGGACTAGTTTTTTGTGTGCTAGGGAATATGCTGATGAAGCCTTAATTTTGCAGGGAAACCCAGTAATTACTATTTAATAAAATAGAGTTTTAAAGATTAAATAAAATTGGCCTTTTCCCCATATATATATATATATATAGGCTGATTATTTTGTAAATTACTTGCTGATTCTATTTTTTGGGGGAGAGGACCTATTTTTCTTACTGACTTCTAAAAGCTTTTTGCATATTACAGTTATTAACCCTTTGGTATATATAAATATTTCCTTCTAATTACTTGTTTTTAAATTTTAAATTTTATTTTTGTTATTTTTTTATTTTTAAAACTTTAAAATAAGCATTATGTAGTTAAGTTTATCTTATATGACCATCTTTACCATTTATTCATGTTGAGAAAGTTCTCCTCTGTAAAAGTCTGTACAGTAGAAGATTGTTTATGCAGAATTTGATCTATTCTAGATTAAGGGTATTTATGAAGGTTAGTTAGCCACAAAATGGCCCATGATTAAAAAAAAAAGATTAATATAAATGAGGTATGGCATGTTATATGGGATATAAAGAATGGCAAGAAATGGCCAAATCTAACAAGTGTGTTTGTCTCAGAAAGCTTTTAATTTGATATAAATTTATCATGTAAGTAGTTGAAGAATGTTTAAGTGTCTGTTATTTTACTTTAAAACCCATGTTTTAAAAGTTCTTTGAAAAAGGGAGCCCTTCCTTCCTTCCCTTCTTTCCTCATTACACTCCTCCTTCCCCACCACCTCCTTTTTTCTCGCCTTTCTTAGCAACACATTTTGTTGTATAATATTTATTAGTGGTGCATGTGTGCTCAGTTGCTAAGTTGTGTTGGACTCTTTGCAACTCCGTGGACTCTAGCCCACCAGGCTCTTCTGTCCATGGGATTTCCCAGGCAAGAATACTGAAGTGGGTTGCCATTTCTGTCGCCAAGGGATCTTCCCAACCCAGGTATCAAACCCAGGTCTCCTGTGCTGGCAGGCGAATTCTTTACCACTGCGTGACCCTGGAAGCCTGTTTATTAGTGGTGCACCTAGGTATATATAAATAAGTGCATCTACACCTGAGTTTGATACAAGAATATGAGTTACTCTCCTTTTTGTGAGGTTCTATTAATGATACACCTTACATACATAAGTGTGAAAGTGAAAGTCGCTCAGTTGTGTCCGACTCTTTGTGACCCCATGGATATACAGTCCATGGAATTCTCCAGGCCAGAATACTGGAGTGGGTAGCCTTTCCCTTCTCCAGGGGATCTTCCCAACCCAGGGATGGAACCCAGGTCTCCCGCATTGCAGGTGTATTCTTAACCAGCTGAACCACAAGGGAACCCCATAAATAAGTGTACCTGTGCATAAATATGATGAGATAATAAGAGTTGCTTTTCTTTTTCTTTGGGGTTTAAATTTTAGCTTTTACAAGAAGCTGAAGAATTGAGAGAACAAGTGAATGAGCTTAATAAACAGAAAATAACATTTGAAGACTACAAAGTACATGTGGAACAAGTTCTGTGTGATAAAGAAAATCAGATTAAGGTAATTGGCCCTGCTGGTTTAATGACTGAGTTAAGCTAGAACTTTAAATTAATTGTGAAATATAAGAAATTTTGTTTTTAACAGCTTTTCTTTTGAGGAGATTTGAGGAGATGTACTTTTTGGCAAACATTGCTAGTTGTACTGTGTTTTTATTCTTGTTGCCAAATGTTCTTTGAAAACTTGTAGATTTGTAGTGTGTGTGTATATATATATATATGTATATATATGTGTGTGTATATACATGTATTCCCCGTGTCCTTTTTTCTTCTCTCTTCTATTTTAGCCTAGCTATTTAATGAAGAAAGACAAAAGACTTTGGATTTTAGCTTTTATCTTAAGATTTCCATCTTTTTTTGTTGATGAGAAGAGTTAGAAAGAATTTTATAAATTGGACAAATGAAGTTATATGCATTGAATATAAATATGAATATCTTTAATGCCTAGATTAACCAGTATATGTACTTTCATAGAGATGAATATTTTAGGTAAATCTAGTTGCACTTTAACTCCATTAGGAATAAAATAATTGGTATTACTGTTAAGATTTATTGATTTTTTTTCCTACTTCTTATCTCTCCCTTCTACCAGTTTTTCCTGCCTACACTTTTAAATCTTACATTTTTAAGCTGCAAACAGATACTCAAGTGTGAATATTAACTAATAAGATGTACAACTAACATTCTGTAACCTGCACAGTGAAATGGATGATGTCATCTTGAAAGCTATACATTTACGCTATTTACTTCACTTCTAAGGATATTTTGGGGGCTCCCTCAGTGTCTCAACAGTAAAGAATCCACCTGCCAGTGCAGGAGACGGGCTCGATCCCTGGGTCGGGATGGTCCCTGGAGGAGGGTATGGCAGCCCACTCCCGGGTTCCTGCCTAGAGGACCCCATGGACAGAGGAGCCTGGAGGGCTGCAGTCCATGGGGTCACAAAGAGCTGGACATGACTGAAGCGACTTAGCACGCTTGCAAAGATGTTTTCACAGTTCCATCATTAGGATTTGTATTTGTAATCTGGCATATTGTTTTGTTTTATTTTTTCCTAAACTTTACTAAAAGACTTGGGACTCTTCCTAACAGAAGAAGAATGAGGTGCTAATCTCAAGCTCTACTCAGAGCTGTAGGCCATGATATCTGTGCCTGGAACTCTCAAAAGGGAGGAGACTGAAGGGTGGAAATTATAGAGCAGAATCAGTCTTTTAGGTGTGTCCTTCCACAGAAATACATGGAATAGTCTATTTTATTCTCTATAGTGTAAGAAAATCTTTAAGAAAATTCAAAAAGAACTATACCAAAGCCTCTAATGTTGCAACTCAGATTCTCTTTTACAATTTCTTTTTCTTTTTGTCAGTTATGTCAGTTGATGATCTCAGCTAGTTGTTTATTTGAATAAATTGAATCTGTGAAATCTCTTTTTTTCATATATCATGTACTTCACCTGGGGATTTGTTTGACTTCACACAAAATTTGTTCTCATGTTAATGACTGCTCTTAGTGTGGCAGTGAGAAATACCACGTAAGAAATCTTGTTACTGTATAGTCATTGATACATTTAGCAAAAATGGGCCATTACTAGGTATTATATTTATTTGATTTGGGCTTCCTTGATGGCTCAGATGGTAAGGAATCCACCTGCAATGCAGGAGACCTGGGTTCGATCCCTGAGTTGGAAGATCACTAGAGAAATGAATGGCTACCTACGCCAGTATTCTTGCCTGGAGAATTCCATGGACAAAGGTGCCTGGTGGGCTACAGTCCATGGGGTCATGAAGAGTCGGACCTGAATGAGCGACTGACACTTTGTGTTTTCACTTTTCATATTTGATTTAAGAGTAACCAGTTGTTATTTTTAACTTGTAGACCTTAATAGTAAATAAATGCTAGTTTTTGAGAGTATTTACATATTTTATGCTGGGTAGAGAGTAAGAACTCATGTACTTTTACCTATGTGGATTGGTTTTTAGACTACAGTTATGCATTCAGAGGTTGTAAAGTCAGCATAAGGCATTACCCTCTTTTTTTCCCCCTTTGGTAAATGTCAAGTCTCTGACAGAGTGCTTACGAAAGATGAAAGACTGGACTGCTGTACTTGGTGAAGACATTACAGATGATGATAACTTGGAATTGGAAATGAAGAGTGATTCAGAAAATGATGCATACCTAGGTATTAAGTCATAACTCATCTTCTTTTACTGGAAATGATGACTGGCTCTTGTATATCCTTTTAGTTCCCCATGTGCATAATACTCTTTATATACTCATGTAATATTCTTTTTGTCTCTCGCTGTCCCTTATGGTTGTTTCAGCTAAGATAGATCCATTTCAGTAAATCTTTCTTCAGTGCCTCAGATAGACTTTCAGCCTTCCTCATCTCTGTTCTTTTTATGTGTTGTACATTATAGCAGTCTTTGGCTTCTTGGTGGCACAGTGGTAAAGAAGCTGCCTGTAATGTAGGGGACCACTGCAAGGTGGGAGATGTGTGTTCGATCCCTGGGTCAGGAAAATCCCCTGGAGAAGGAAATGGCAACCCACTCCAGGATTCTTGCCTGGGAAATCCCATGGACAGAGGAGCCTGGCGGGCTACAATCCAAGGGGTCGCAAGAGTCATACATGACTTAGTGACTAAACCACAACCACGACCACAGCAGTCTTCACACTGCATCATAATTCTTTCCATGCCTATTTCCCCCGTACTGTAAGCTGATCAAATGGATGGGTGAGTAGTTGGAAAATTGAGTGTTCTATAAATGAATGCCTTAAGATGCATTTCTTTAGATGGTTCGTATGGTAACAGTACTTTAATTTTTACCAGCCCAAATTCTGTTGCCATTGCTGGTTGCAGTATGAAAACTCAGGAGAAGTTAGGTTCCCTATAGCCACTTAGTGTGTTTTCAGATCAGTTCTTTTGACTTTGAAAGAGAACATCTTGTTTTGATGTATAGACTCACAGAAAATCATAAGAACAGTGCAGAGAGGTCTCAGGTATCTTCTTTGAGTTTCCCCCCAGTGATAGTTTCTCTGATTTTTGTAACCTTTCTCTTTTCTCTCCCTCCATCCTCTGTGTCAGTAAAAAATGTGTTAAGGAGAAGGTGTGATTTTTTTTTTTTAAGATTTTCTTTGATGATAACATTAATGTCTTGGAAGAAAAGTACACTCCAAAGTAAAGACATAGAGTTCTGTTTGTACTTTTTTACTTCTGCTTTATCTTGTAAGAAATAATTATTTTTCTTTTTTTTTAAATTTTAATTAATTTTTTTAGAAATAATTATTTTTCTAATGAGAAAACTCATGTTTAATGTTATTTTAATTTGGAATATAATTCTGGTCATATTTTGTCTGATGAGGGATTCTAAGAATAATTGAAACTGTGGGCTAGATTTAGGTGATTCCCAAATGCTTATTTTAACTCTGTTTTTGGAGTTAGTGTTGAAGAACCGTGTTACATGATACTATGATAATTCCATTGCTTTTTTTGTTTAGCTTCCTTGGAGCAGGTCTGAGCCCACTGTGCCTTTTATTAAATTCTTTATTGTAGCAAGGGATTATAAAGCTCTAGTTGAGTGAACTAATAAAATCATTTGGCTGTCTGTTGTGGCATTGTACTGTTTTATCAAGTTATTATGTTTTTGTTTTTCACTATAGATAATCAACCAAAAGGAGCTTTGAAGAAACTGATTCATGCTGCTAAGGTTTGCATTACTACATAAGAATATAGAGAAACAGATAAAGCATGGATTAAATCCATATATCCTAGTAACTGTTTTAAATGTCCATTTTATAGTTACCATATAAGTGACAGAAGTTTTAGAAGTGATCAGAATTTTCTTCAGTTGCTTTTTAATTTTTTTATGGTAACTAGAAATTCATATTGTTAGTTTTTAGAATTTATTGTAATAAAAATTTTCAAGGTGTGCACTCATTTCTTTGGATAAGGACTGTATTAAGATTGTTTACTACATATTTTCCCATACTTTTCCTCTTTCAATGTTCTTCATCCTCTGGTCTCAGTGTTTTCTAATATTCTATTGCCCCATATCTTATCTTGAGAAGTATGTGCTAGATTCATTTTCTTGTGATTTATCCCTACTCTGTTTCATCCTAGTAGTGGTATCTTGATCTTTATTGATCTATGTGAACTTTCAGTAATGTAGCTTGAAGGTTGCTTTGATCAAAATTTATGTGCTGAAAGCAAACAGCTGCTGTTCAAGCATTAGTCACTGACTCCTTTATTCCTGTTTTGAGATTTACATGTGTTGATGACTTTGCTAACTTTCTAAGATGGAAACTCCATTGTTGACTTCTGTGGTCTGGGTAGTAATTTCATTGGAGTGTAAAAGAACTTCAAAAGATTAGGATGGTATATTGAGATTTTTGTTTGTTTTGGTATAATTGTTTAATGTTGCTTTTTTTCTTCTCCTTCTCCCATTCTTTGAAGTTAAGAGCTTCTTTAAAAACCCTAGAAGGAGAAAGAAACCAAATTTACACTCAATTATCTGAAGTTGATAAAACAAAAGAAGAGCTTACAGGTAGATAATCTATAGACTTACAATGTTTCTCTAAATAAATATGTCTTCTTATAGAGAATAGAACATTAATTGAATCAATTATGGGGAGATACAATTTGATTTTTTTTTTTTTACTTTTGTTTGTTATTTGTGAAAAGTTAGTCTGAGTTTTTATTGTTGGTAAAGTCATATCATTTCCCCCATATTTATATAAAATTAATGGCATTATTAAAAAAACGTAAAGCTGTACTTTCAATTTCAGTGTCAAATATTTGGTATGGTTTTAGTTATTAAAAAGTATCAAATTAAAACTTAGTTTAAAAAAAACTTTGTTAATTGCAAATTTGATTTTTATTAGTGGTACTTCTATATTTTATAGATCTTTTTATGGTACAGTTTTTTCCTCTAATGTCCTTGCATAGTATATTAACATATATGGAATGATGTTAGACCTGTAGAACTGATGTTTTTTTTCATTGAAAAGATTTTTTTCTAATTTTGCTGATAGGGTTTTTTTCCTCAAGTGAACAAATACTGTTATATTCCAAAATTTTAAAAGTTGATGTAAGGAACATTCCATATTGTAAAAAAAAAAATCAGCATAACTGTTAGCATAAAAAAATGATGGAAGGACATTCTCGAATGTCAGCCATGTTTCTCTTTGAATATGGGATCATGGACAGATTTCTGTTTTCTTTTTACTTATCTGTATTTTCAAAAATTTCTAAAATAAGTAAACTGGGTTTATAATAAGACATTTTTTGAAAAGGTTGAACCACCAAAGATACAGATTATTTAAAAAATTATCATTGCCCTATTCACATGGTACTGGTAGTTCAGTTATTTTTGAATTTTGAAAAACATTAATATTAACTTAAAGTTTTGCTAATGTATAGTACTAAAAGCCATGGGAGATTTACAAGAGGAAAAGATACGGAGCTTACTTTCAAGGAAGCCCTACTTTAGTACATTAACAGGCTGTCAGTGAGGAACTATAGTAAGTGCTGGGATTGTAAGGAATTTGCTCACCAGTTACCCCATCACTTAATATGGTATCTTGGCAAATTACTATTTTTCTAAAACTAGTATTTGGAGACTTTGTGTCCCTTCTTGCAAATCTTTCTTATTTTAGGGAGTCATGAAAGATAAATTTCTATAATTGATCTTCTATTCAGAACAGAAAGGTTTTCTTCTGAATTGTTTCTCCTCTGACCCTGTCGTTTTTGGTAATCATTTACAGTGCTATTTTAAGATACAGAGGATTTGAAACAAAATAGTTACGGTAGAAGTGAAAAAATATAATGAAAGTTTAAATGTTGGTTTAAATTTGTTTTTAAATAGAGATGATCCAATTTTAAAAGAAGTAATATCCAACATGAATGTCAGTTAAGTGACTTAACAATGGCTTGTTAAGAATTATTAAGATGACATGGCAATGGTTTAAGGCCAAAGGTCAACAAACTTTACTGATCTAGATTTTAAAATTTCTTGGAAAGACAGATGTGGACAATTTTCTGCACATTTAATCATTTAATGTTAAGGTATTAAACTGTCTTTTTGGTGTGTATATTTAATTAGTAGATGTTTTAGAATAATTATATAACATTACATAAATCGGTAAAATTCTAATGATTGTTAGTATGGTTTTGGAATTGTCCTGTTCAGGCAGAGTGAGTTTTGCCTTGTTTCAAGATTTGTGGTATGATTGTGATTCATACACATTTTTTTGGGAGATGTCACCTTAGTCTTATGAATTATGTTATGTTGAAAGAGAAATAATTTCCCTAGTTAGTGTATCCACTAATTATTTTATAGTCATAATTAATTAGAATTGTTTAATTTTCATTGATGATTCTTTTAGGTTGAAACAAAGCTAAAGTTAGTACTTTCCTTTCCAGTCTTGATCTGGTGTAAGCCAGCAGGACTTTGGGGCATTCATTATGAGAAGATCCAAATTTCTGGCTTGATTTTTACCACGTATAAAAATTTTGGCTTAAAAAGAGGCTGGGTAGAAGTTATTAATGGGTAAACTTTACTAGGGAAAAAAAGATGCATTATTAATCATGTGGGAGAGATTCACAGGAAATATTAAGCTAAAGTATTTGCCTTCAAAATCCTCATCACCAAAACTTTGAGAATTTTAGTGACTTTTGTCTCCTAGACTGAAAATTAGATGCTAGAATTAGAGTACTGAAGGTTTTAGAAATTTTTTGTAGGAAATCCTTAAATAATGAAAAAAATTATAATTTATATAGCTCTTTAACATGTTAAAAGGTATTTAGGCGAACAAAATATCAATTTTCTGTCAGAAAGAATTTAGTCTATTAATAATTAGTTTTTGTAATTTTTATTTTTATAAAATATTAATGTGTAGCTCAAAATATTTGCTCCCTTAATTGTGATTTAAAAAATTTTTCTGTAGAGTGTATTAAAAATCTCCAGACTGAACAAGCATCTTTACAGTCAGAAAATACACAGTTCGAAAGTGAAACTCAAAAACTTCAGCAGAAACTTAAAGTAATGACTGAACTATATCAAGAAAATGAAATGATACTTCACAGGTAATAAATTACGTTGGTCACTCCACTGAGTGGCAGATAAAATAGCTTAAAGACATTTTGCTTTCAGCTTATGTGATTATTTAGGCTTCCCTTGTGGCTCAGCTGGTAAAGAATCCACCTGCAATGTGGGAGACTTGGGTTCGATCCCTGTGTTGGGAAGATCCCCTGGAGAAGGGAAAGGCTACCCACTCCAGTATTTTGACCTAGAGAATTCCACAGACTCTATAGTCCTTGGGGTCACAGAGTCAGACACCACTGAGTGACTTTCACTTTCATTATGTGGTTATTCAAAGTTCTTAATTTATGATTGGGTTGCATCTCATCAAATTACTTCTTTAAGAAAGTTATTTGATTTTGAAACATTTTTTGTTCAGTGATAAAAATATAAATGATAATGGTGAACTCTTAAAGCTTCTGTATTAGTAGTACTGTATTGGATAAGGTGCTTTACAATTTGATTCTATAATATTAAATTCCACACTCAGGTACATTTGTTTTTTTCTTACGTGTGATGTTTTTATTGATATTTACAGGTTGCTTTATGGGAAGCAGTAGAATAAATCACCAGTTGTGATATAATTAAAAATATACCATTGGTTATTTTATGACATACAATGACAGAAATAAAATACTTTTTGTTTTAAGGAAATTGACAATGGAGGAAAATTACCGGTTAGAGAAAGAGGAGAAACTTTCCAAAGCTGATGAAAAGATCAACCATGCAGCTGAAGAGCTGGAGACCTATAGGTATGAATATATTTCACCCCTTTCTTTTTGAGGTAGGAAGGGTATCCATACAAAAGCCCAAAAGCAGAAAAAAATAATAGAGTAATAAAAAAAATCCCCCATAATTTTATTATTTTTCATTTAGATGTCTTGCTCTTATGCAATTATACAGAAAATATAAAAAGGAAAAAAGTTTTTCTTTTACTTTATGTAATTCAAAATCGCTTAGAGTAGTTGGATTTGAATATGGGCAATCCTATATTATGTTAAAGCTAAGAACTTTGTTAATGTGACTAATTTTAAGGTCTTTCCTCTGGTTCACATGGGGAAGAATGTATATAATATTAATCAATTTGAGAAGTATGCTGCCAAAAGAATAAGCCTTAATTAAAGTTATGAAGAAGTGTTTATAAGACCATAAATCTAGTTTTTACCTTAGCTCAATCCTTACTGAAATAATCAATCCTAAAATAATAGAAATAATAAAAACCTAGAGAAAATAAGTGACAAGATTCAGCAGTACTCCAAATAGTTGTGATACTTCATTTTACATTAGGAAGAGCAAGCTTGAATTTTATGCAAAAGTTTTTAGTCTTATAACGTCTTTTTATAGTCTTATGAACTTTAAGTCTTTTTAGTCTTATAAAGGTAATAGCATTTTCTTTCTCACAGATCTTCAATTTCCTAGAGTTCTATTAAGACACTAGACATCTGAATACATCTCCCAATATGCTTCTTAAAAATGAAAATGAGCCAGTATTCCATCTAAATCTTTTCATGATTTTTGTTTTAGGTAAACTCAAGTAGTAGTATTCCTAAACCTTACCTAATGTTTAAATTATATCATGAAAAAAATATGCTTTAGAACCTTGCAACTAAACCAGCGACACCAAAGGTGATGAACATGTGGAGTTCTAGCATTACATGAAACAAAGCAGTCTAGGTGTTAAATTAATTAATATTTTCAGTAGAGATAGTGTGTTCTATCATTTCTTAGTTTATGTTAAGAGTAGAATGATTGTTTGTTCTTTATAGAAAGCGAGCCAAAGATCTAGAAGAAGAGTTGGAGAGAACTATTCATTCTTATCAAGGACAGGTATGTGTGTGTGTATGTGTAACTTAAAATAGTAGTGATTTGTTTGAATTCATATCTGTTTTGATGCAGGAGTATAGTTAGTCTCTTGAGGTTTTGCATGTGGTGGTGGAACATTTCTAGGGAGCAAAGATTCTGGGAAAAGAGACATTGTTTAAAGTTGCTATGTGAACTACTGCTGATTTGGTAATTTGAGTTGCATAAATAAATAAACATATATCAGCATTAGGGTCATATATATATATATATATATATATATATATATATATATATATAACCAGTCTGGCTAGTTGTTTCTTAATTGGTACCTCCTATTCATGGGGTCGCAAAGAGTCGGACACGACTGAGCGAGTGAACTGAACTGAACTGAACTGATTGTAATTGATTATTGTGTAAAACAGAAATGTACTAGACAAAAATTTCAGTTGTCTTAACATTGCTTTTGTTTTAGAAGTGTAATAGAGTAGATCATATGTATATGAAAATTTGCTTTAAAATAATACTTGCTGACTTTTTAGAGATGATTGAGTTATTTTTGAGTTTATGAATTTTGTATTAAATCATAGTGGTAGGTATGAATGTTTTTTACAGAAAAAAATAGTTATTAGTAGTATTTTAATGATTTTTCTTTTTCAGATTATTTCTCATGAGAAAAAAGCACATGATAATTGGGTAAGTATTAAATTTTCTTAGGCTTTTTTGTCAAATTGTTCTTTTTCCTAATTTAGATAAGCAGTATTTAAAGGTACACTTTTATAACTGAGAAAAAAGGTAGTGTATAAAGAAATCAGTTTCTTTTAATTTCACCAGTAGTGGAATTACATCCCTTATGAACGAAATACTTTGTTATGATATAGTTATTCACACAATCTGATTTTTCCTTCTCTGCTTTTAGCACATTACTTCTTTGCACGGAGCTTCACTCTTTGGGGCTTATACTCAGGGGGAGGTGAGGCAACGTTCATGGACTTGTTTCAGGCAGTGGATTGCCAGCTAATTACTTGTGGACAAATTTTTAAAATTCTCTGGGCTTGTTTACTCATCTGTAAAACAATGGGACTAGCTGAAGTAATAATCTAAAGCCCGTCCTAGTTCTAAAAGTTATATTAATATAATTCAGGTATCTGATTCTCTGATTTTTAATTACTTGTTACACATTAAAAAAAAGACCTTCACAAGAAATGACATGTCAGTGTTTTGGAGGAACTGTATGAGAAAGTGATAACTATATAGATTTTGAGTAATGATCAGGATGGTCTCTCTAACATGAAGAACTGTTGTTAACAGCTGGCCTTTGAAAGACTAGCCCCTCAAAGTCTTCAAGGGGAAGTGATTTGCACAGTAGGGGAATATGGGGTCTGGAGTCATCCTGTCTTGGTTGCTATCCTGGCCCTATCACTTACCACCAGTTCCTTACCTAAAGACAGAGATATTACTAGTATCTATTTCACAGTTATTGTGATGACATTAAGTAAGATAATTCTGATAGCCAAGTACCTGACATATAGTAGGCATTCAGTAAATGTTAACTGTTAAATTGTCACTGCTGTACTGAAGCTTGGAAGATATTTTTATTTTTAGGCATGGATGTTTCTTGGAATGGAGATTTCAGCTTAGAGTAAGAAATTAGATAAGTTGAATATCAGGATCCTTCCCAATTTTGAGCTTTTATGTATATGCTTCTGTAATATTTGTTATTGAAATAATATTTGTTATTGAAATAATATGCTGGTCTTGGAAGTGAGTTTAGTCTTCCTCACTCCTTTCTAAATGCTCAGATGCAAATTATTTTTTAAAGATGGAGAGGAACTGATGTTTATTAGTATTGCATATATTCTAGGCACTGTACTCAAAGGCATTGTACATATATTACTCACTCAGTCCACACAATAACTGTAAAAAAAATGGGTATTATAATTCAGGTCTTCCTGATGAGGAAACAGCCCTAGGTCACGTGATTAGAGAGTTAAGATTTGAGATTGAAACATTGACCTTTTAGATTCTAAGTCTTATATGTTTTTTTTTTTTAAGATTCTAAGTCTTATACTTTTTCTTTTCAATACATTGAAATTCTTGTTTAGTAAATAATGACATTGACCTTAAATTAAACATGCAGAAAATATGCCCTTCATGTCTCAAACTAAAAAGATATTTTATAAAAATAATATATACTCATTGAACAAAAATTATACCATGTAGAAAAGTACAAAGAAGTAATCAGCAGTAGTACTTTAATTTATTCCATACTTTTATAGATACATTGAGACATAAAGCACATATATACGTTTAAAAAAACAAGATCATATATTGTTTTATAACCTTTTTAAATATATCATAGATATTTTTTATGAAGTTTTATCTTTTCTATGAAGTTTTTCATTTTATAAACTTTCAGTTTGTTTCCACTATTTTACTGTAATAATTTCTTAATTTTAGGTGTTACTTTCTCTGTTGAGCATTTCTTTGCTCCATCCTGTTAGATTTAATCTTCCTTTAAATTGTCATAGTACTTGGGTTTTTTTTTTGTATCCTGTGGCAAGTACTGTGGTTATTTGTATTTGTTCTTACCATAGATTTAAGCTTATAGGGACTGTTTTGTTTTCCTTCTTAACACCTGTACCTAATAGAATCTTTTTTGCATATTGTAAAGTGTTCAATATCTGAATATAAATGTTTTAGATTACAATATAGTTGGTTATTTACTAAAATTACAGTTTTTGCTAACTTCTGGGTGTAAATTTTTCAAATGTGAACCATTGTCATCAGTCTATTTTTATATTTCTTTGTTGTAGGTATATCTTTAATATATACTATACTATAATCAGAGTAGAACTTACTTTTGACTTAACTACACATTTTTGTGCCATATGTTTAACAGTAAATATGTTACACATTAGCAAACATTTAGAAATGATTTTAGTTCTGCATCATTAAAAGTTAAATGAATTGGTATTTTGTTAACAAAAATTGTTACAGTGGTGTTCTTTTTTGTTAGTACAAAATTGATGATATAATTTGGAAAAAGATTTACACCTGGAGTCTTTTGATATTGAGTGCTAACATGTGGTTAAGCTATATTTTTGGTGAATATTGGCCCAGTTAAAGTCAATTCTCAGGTACAGTTCAAAATTATAGACTGCGTTAATTTGCCTGCCTTTTGGTGACTGTCACATTAGCCCTAGTGAACTGCATTAATCTGGCAGCTGTGATGTTCCCCACTCTGCTGCTTCTACCCTGGAGAGTCCACAGGATAACAGGGAAACGTAGTATTCTATGCAAGCTTAATTTTATCCACAGCTATTTGGGTTTATTGCATATTCTTGGTATAAGCTTTTTTTTCTTGTAACATCTCTATTGGTACTCTGATTTTTATTAAATGAAAGTGTCTGTAAATAAATGTAAAAGAGTAAAGGAATGTATCTCTACAGTGCTGTGTACTTAATAAACATGCAGCATTCTTTGATTATATTCAGTCATTAAAAAAAAAAAAAATGGCCTTTACCAGCATGTTTAGACTTTAAAGTTTCACAGAATTACAGTGATCTCTTTCCAGAGATAGTTACTTTGTTCCACTGCCAATGCTGCCACGCATAATTCTGAGTCTCCATTCCTAAGCTTGAGTCCTCTTCCATAGCTCTTGTCATGTTATTTGGATATTTACAACACCAAGTAATTCTAATCCTTGACTTCACATCTAGTTGAAAGCATTTCTTGGCAATTACATGATTAAACTCCAGTCTTAGGTTCATCTGGTTGTATGAAACTCATTTCTTTTTGATATAATTTTCTAAATTAATTTTTTTTTACATTGAGTTTACTGAAATGCTTACTTATATACTTAAGTGATTGTGATATTTGTATGCAATTATTGAGATATTTATGTATGCTTATATTTCAAGTTTTCATAAATTTATTTTAAAATATATTATTTTCTTTAAGTTGGCAGCTCGGACTGCTGAAAGAAACCTCAATGATTTAAGGAAAGAAAATGCTCACAATAGACAAAAGTAAGTATCTTAGTAGGAATACTTTAAAAACTTTGCTTATGACTTTATTCTTAGTTGTTATTTTATTAAGTAGTTGATATTTTTATAAGGATAAACAGACTTTCAGTGACCCAACATATCTAGTAATAAAGTATACCTTAGTTCTATTAGAGTTTACTAGATTTTTTGTTTGAAACGCTTGACTAGAGGTTACTGTAACAGAGAGAAACTTTTCATAGATTTTTTTGTAAAAAGTATAACTTAAAAAAATTTTGTTTAAATCAGAGTGGGTAGAAAGAGATTATAAGAGATGGAGATAGAAAGGATAAATCTTTTTGACATGGTAATTCACAGAGTATTAACATCTTTTAATGAATAAATGGATAGAATGTTTATTTCTCTTTTTCCATGATTTTATTATATTGGATGGCATTGCTTTACAATAACAAAATGAATGAGAGGATAAAAGAGTACAGTGTACAATTGAAGGGAAGAGTAAATGGTTTTCTATGAAGACTGTAAAAGTCTTCCCATAGTGTTATAATTTCTTGACAGAATGTACTATTAACATTATCCAGTATTAGTTTTAGTCTCTTGTCTTTTCTCCTCAGAAATTAAAGCCATATGATTAAATGTTTTATTTCAGATCTAATGGTATAGAACTAGAAATAAGATTCTTTTAAAATGTCATATTTTTCAGATAAAAGTTTGGAAAGGAATAAAATAGTAGGATGAATTAATCAGGTTTATGTTATGATTGGAATCGTATGGGTAACACTACAACGGAAAGCTTATGTGACTCAGAGCTGGGAGCCCTGAGTTTTAACCCCGGTACTTTCATTTTGCATAAATCATTTAAACTCCTAACCTCACTTTCCTTAGTTGTAAAATAATAGGTTTGAACTCATTGACCTTGGAGGGCCCTTCAAGATCTTTCTAAAAGTTGGATTCTGTCATATGGTATTCTTTGTAGCCTAGTTTTGAAAGAGAATAAAACAATTCCAAACCTCAGCAAAACATCACTATCATGAGGCAAAAGGAACCTGTTACCCTAAAATAAATAGTGGGGGATATATAAAGGTATTATGGTCAGAATAATTTTAAAGGACCTGTTTCTTTTATGTAGATATTGAGATAATAAAAAATAGTTTATAATAGTGGCATTTTTCTTGAAATGTGAGTGCTTCTCTTAGATAAGTAACTTAGTGATGTTTGTTCTTTATTTGCAGATTAACTGAAACAGAGTTTAAAATTGAACTTTTAGAAAAAGATCCTTATGCACTTGATGTTCCAAATACAGCATTTGGCAGAGGTAGTTTTTTTTTTAACCCCTCATTAAAAAAGTACTTAATATATTTTGTACATACCATTTATATTAGTGTGAATTAACACTACTTCTTATGAATTTTTTAGATTTTGGAGCTAGGGTTCTAATCTGAGTTATCTTGTGGTCTCCCAAGTTTCTGAGTTTTGTTCTCTAGCAATAATGTGAGTAATGGCTTTCTCAGTGGTGTTTTGTAGGATGATGTATGTTTAGTACCTTGAGCTCCTTGGGAAGCAAAGTGCTTGGTACATAGTAAGGTACTCATTATTTTTTTGGAGAGTGAATGGGTAAAGATTGCTTAAATGGAATAGCATTGTGACTGTTTACATATTAACCATTCTTTGGAATTTGCTTGAATTTTAAAAATAAGAATTAAAACAGCTGGTTTTAAATTATTTAAAACTTCATTAAAAGGGTGGGAAAACTTTATTAATCTGAGTTTTGATTGCTTTAATTACCTCCAAAAGAACCAGTTATTTGGAAGATGTATTTAATATTTCTGTCCATTCATTAGTGAGTTAGCATCTTTATGATCTCATACTATTCCAAATAGTTTACATTTTTCAAAATAATTTTGCTTGAATTGGAATTAAGCTTCTAGGGTAGTAAAAACAAACCTATCTTGTGTAGGTAGACTCCTCTTTTAGTAACTGTTGAAAAGTTATAAAAATCACTTTGAGAGTCCAGTTTCATTAAGTATTTCCACATTAAGAAATAGCAGATTGTTATGAATTTCAAATAGGAGCAAAGTCTGGAGTTGAGGGAGTTATACAGAAAGAATTTTTATCTGAATCTTATGCAAAAATGTCTCAGGGTAAATAATGCTTTGATCTTTTGTTGTAACTACATTCAAATATTACATAAGCTACATAATAAAGTTTAGCATGTTTTGAAAAGTGTTATTTTGGGTGGCATTGAAGTTTGTTTGTTTTTTGATAATGTTGTTGATTTTCGATCTTTGGAAGAATAACCATTATTTGAGAATGGTGAAGTTTGTAAAATGATCAGACTTTTGGTTATATGGTTTATAGATAAAGTGATTTATTTGATGTGTAAAACTGAGTTTTCACTGGTGATAAATCAGAAGTAATTTCTGAAGGTTCAGAGTATTTTGTGGTTTTTTTTTTCATGCTTTTGAAAATCTGAACTTTACTCGGGTAATTCATAGCCCAATACAGGCCCTGTCTGGCCCTGATTTAAACAGAGCCCTTCTGTTGGTACAACCCTCACCAGCTGAACTATCTGGAAGCATACTGCCATTAAAAACAAAACAAAAACAAACTTCATGCCCCTCAAATCCTCTTATAACTCTAAAATATGGTGTCCTTTACTTAATAGTGTATGATCATTCAAGTGTATTAGTTACCGAAAGAGTGATGTTTTTATTGACTGAAGTGTCTGGTAGATAGACTTAAACACATGGTTCTATATATAGCTCCATCCCATATTAGCTAAACCCAAGGCACCTTTAGTATTTAGGACAGAGATTAAATTTAAATTGGCAATAGAATGACCCGATGGTAATTGCTGAGTTAGGATTCTAATCTATAGTGTAGGTAATTGAAACTATGAATTTAAATATGCTGTTTTAATTATTCCAGAGCATTCCCCATATGGTCCCTCACCATTGGGTCGACCTTCACCTGAAATGAGAGCTTTTCTCTCCCCTCCAACTTTGTTGGAGGGTCCACTCAGACTCTCACCTTTGCTTCCAGGGGGAGGAGGAAGAGGTATATTGTTTAAACATCTTTATTACTCTAGATTTCTTCCTTACTTTATATTTTCATCTCAACTTATCTTTAAAATGATCTTTAAAATAAACCTTTGAAAAATACAGGCATTCCTTGCACTTACTTACTCTGGGTTAATTTTTGTTTGGAAAAGAAACTCTGTGACATCAATATATTTTTCCCTTAGAAACCTATTTCTGATGGATTACATTTTGGTCAGGGACTTGATATATCATCTTTTAAAACCTTTTTAAAAGCTGGATCCTTTACTACATAATATATAACTTTATAAAAGTATACATGAAACACAGTAACCGTATAACCTAGCATAAAATTGTATTTTAATTAAGCATTATTGGAATACAGAATTTTTTAAAAATCTTTTTTTACTTTATTATCATGATCTTTTTATTGTAGAAAATCAGAAAGTGAAAGAGCTATTTTATTTTTTTTAAGAAATAAGGAATTCAGAAGTGCTCTCTTGTAGACATAGTTTTTTTGGGAACCTTAAAAGAGCCCTAAATCGTATGTTAATATTTTAAGAAACTGACCCAAGATCATGTGCTTTGTTCCCCCCTTATGTGTTTTTGAGAATTTCCAGAGCCTTCAAGCCCAAGCATTAGCTATTGATCTTTCTGCAGTTACCTCATCAGCACTGATGTTACCTGTATACCTCTTTCGATCTGGAGTTTTCCTCTTTTGATCTCCCAACTATATTTTGTTTGTCAAGTTACTTTAGAACTTTCCCTTGCGTTATGGCAAAATTCAAACATATTTATTCCAAAATCGAGAGCCTTAGGTTTTTAGCCCTGAATTTGTGTTTATATCATGTCAGATTACACATGAACATGTGTTACTGAAGCCAGTCACATGAGATAGTACTACCCTTACTATCTTTGATGCTTTGTGATAACTTCTATTCAGTTCTACTCTATTTCATTAAGAAAGAATGCTAGTTAAGATTAACTTCATACGCCACAATGGGTTGCAGCCAACAGTCCTGAAAAACAGTGCCCTATAAGTAAGGGTATAAATTAGCTAAATTGGCAATGTGAATCACTTAAAGTTGAATGACATAAGTCAAGGATTGCTTGTAGTTAATTGAATATTTGAAATAACAGTAAAAATTACCTTTGATTTCTCCTCTCCTATTTAAGTTACTTTCCTTTCTTTTTAAAATAACTTTCAAGATACAATGTGATTAGATCATTTGCAAGGGTGTTTTACTGTTTGTTAGAAAAGCTACAGAAGTTTTAGGTAAGTTAGCAGCAGGCCTTAAAAGAGTTGCTTTGAACTGAAAGTTTCTATGACCCACAAGAGAAGAATGACCTTTCTTTTCCTTCTTCTTATCTTTTTTTTTTTGAAAGTTTGGATGAGATACATGTTTCAGTAAGATTGAGTGTAAGGAAAATAATTTCTTTTTAGAGTAAATTGTACATAACTTGTGGACTGAATGAAAAACCTTGACCTTTAGCATGTTCATGTTGGCAGTTTTTCTCATAATAGTCACTTGCCTGTACTTTTTTCCTCTGGAAGTAAGCAATCAGGAGAAAGTCTTTGAGTCTCCTTTAAAGATCCATTTTTTCACTCTAGACAACCTTAGCCTAATTGACTCTTGCACGTATTTCACCGATTTAATTTTCCCAGCCTTTTTTTCCCTTCTGATGAACTGATTAAAAGGATGAACAAACTAGGAGGAATAAGGATAAATAGACCTTCTGACATAAAAGTCAGTTGGCTTCCTGACAACAAGAGTAGATAGAACAATTTTAAAAATTACTAAAATTAAAAAACAAAACAAAACAGAATGCTTATACTGATTGCTACAAGTTACCATGAAAAGGTCATATTACTTTTATCTCTTAAAGGAAGTGCTGAAATGTGGGGAGCATTTTAGAATGATTCCTATTAAAATAATTGTTTTTTAAAGTTCTTTGAAAAATTAAATAAGCTTTTATTTTCTGGGCAATGTAATTTTGAGGAGACCTCATTCTCCCCTCAATGACAGATGAAATATTAATTAATTTATTTTGTTATTTAATATTAAAACTTTTTGTATTTGTGTTTTTCACTTTAATTGAGTATGGGTTATTAGTTGAGGTGCCATTCTTTCTGTGGTCATAGGAAGGGAACTTTGGAATGATTCCCTTTCTTTATAAATGTTAGCATGTCAGATTTTCTTACCCAAATGAGTGTTACCTTGTTCAGAGTGTTTATTTCAACAGTGCTGTTGCTTTTGAAACTTTTTATTTTAGACTTGACTTCAGAGTTATGAGCTTTCTTTGGAGGTGAACTTGATATTTAAAAATTGCTAGAAGCCGCTTAAAGCCAAATATATTTGGCATATATAAATTTTGCAATCAGACTGGCTAAAATCATTTCTGAGGCAGAACTCATGAAGAGTCATGCCTCTACTTACTACAATAGTAAGATGCAATTTCTTAAGTAGCTGTTAAGTTAATCTGAGTACATTTCTAAAATATACCTTTAGTAGTTGCAGAATTATTAAAATAGGTATATAGCCTCTAAGATGACTGTTTTAAAGGCTTCATACTCTTTGACTATTGGCATATTAGTTTAATTAACAAAAATCTCATAATTATTACATCTGATATAGAAATCCTTTATTTTGCTATTTACTTTCTACTCTTATTTTTCAGACTTAGTATTTATAATTTCCAATTTAACCACTGATTTTATATGTAAATAATGATGGTAATAACATTTAAGAATGAGTTTTATAGGCAAGTATCTATGTATATGACAAAATATTTCCTTTTGTTTTAGAAATGGCTTTGGTAGGATTGAGTTATAGTCTAATGTGTCTTGGGAAAACTTGGTTAGAATCTGACTGTTTTGCCTTTCAAAAAAGGCCTGGATTTTATTTGATGAGATCTTATAATACTTTTTTAGATAAAACAGTTGTATCTTTCTTCTTTAATTAGGCTCAAGAGGCCCAGGGAATCCTCTGGACCATCCGATTACTGATGAAAGAGGAGAATCAAGTTCTGATAGGCTAACTGATCCTCACAGAGCGTCTTCTGACACTGGCTCCCTTTCACCGCCCTGGGAACAAGATCGTAGGACGATGATTCCTCCATCAGGTATGGAATGAGCATAGTTGGTGTGTGTATTTGAAAGGCATCCAGTGTGTGTGCAGCATACAGGGATAGAGAAGTACACGTGTGCCCTGTCTTAAGGAGAACCATGGTACATATTAGAAAACAGTAGTAACACAAATTTCCAAAGAGAGTAATTAGGGATAATTATTCACATTATAGAAAACTGTCCTCCCTCCACCCCCACCATGCAATGTCTTTATAGTTTTTGTTGCTCATAGAAGTGATACATGTTTATATTTATGTTAGAAAATTCAAACAATGGAGAAATGTGTAATTAGGAAAGTGAAAAAATCCCCCTTGTCATTTTAAGCATGCCCCTCCCGGAATGTAGTTTTATATCTTTTAGGGAGTTCTTTTTTGATATGTTTTCATAAACATAGGTATACCCATTCCTTCATCACTTCTGTGCAGTTATACTATTCATCTTAAAATTGTCTTTTTACCCTTGAACAATATAGCTTAGATTAATTGTCAAGATAAATATATTTACCAGAAGACTCACAGTAGAATATTCTGAAGTAAGGCAATAACTGCTATTCCCTTATAGCCTCTATTTGCCCAAGGAACGTTATTAAAATTATTGTTTGCTAAACTTTTATTTATGCACAGTGTTTCAGGAACAGACACTGTTTTGTAAAGTTAGCTATGCCTGCTTTGCATAAATTAGTTACATTTTAAAAAATATACTAGTTCAGATTACTTCCTGAGGAGTTGGAGAAGGAAGAATATTGTGATTAAAAAAACCCTTTAATTCCAAGAGTTAGCCTTTGCTTTGTTAGTGTGTGTATGTTGTATGAAGTGGTAGTTTCTTTGGTTTGAGGTTACTTTCTTTTGTTTGATATCATTATAGTATCAGCTTCATAAAAACAGAGATTTGTGTCACTTTAGTTCACTGCTGTATCTCCAGAACCTAGAACAGTGCTGAGCCTGTAGTATTTGCCCAGTAAATATTTGTTGAATGAATGAATGAATACCCAAATAATTCTAAGAAAGCTGAATATTTTTCTTACTGTTTTTATGTTTAGAACTATATATGCTGTGACTTTCAGACTTAAGAATCTGTTAATAAGTGGCATAGAAATCCTCCTTTCAAGGATTTTTTTCTTAAGTAGCATTCATTTTAAACTTTAGATGTGATAAAAATAAAGAGGAATAATTTACAGCCCCTTTCATAAGGAGTTTGATTTCAAGCTTTTGGTATATATTGTATTTCTCTGTGTGTGTGTGTGTATATATATATATACATATACATACACACATATATATATTTAAAATTTTTTGTTTGGCTGCATTAGGCCTTAGTGGGATCTTTCTTTGTGACTCACGGACTCTAGCTGTGGTGCATGGGCTAGTTGCTCCAAGGTATGTGGGATCTTAGTTCCCTGATTAGGGATCAAACTCATGTCCTCTGCATTGCAAGGTGGATTCTTAACCACTGAACCACCAGGGAAATCTCATATTTTTGTAAAGGATGTTCCTTTTGAGAATTTACAAGCTGTCAGTACCAAGAGTCCCTGTCACATGCTCTGCCTCTCCCCCCAAGTATTAGCTAGTGTGATGATGCTCAAACTTGGCTTATCATCAGAAATAATCTAGGGGACTTAAAAAAATGCAAATACCTGGATTTCACCACATTCCCCCGCCCTAGTTTTTCTGTAAATTTCATTGAAGTATAGTTGATGTGCGATGTTGTCATTACACCTTCTGAACATGATCTCTGGAGGTAAGATCTGTATTTCCCAAAAAAACCTCTCTAGGAGGTTCTGAGGAATAGCTAAATTTAAAAACCACTAATTTATCCAGTGTCCTTACTAAATAGAGAAGGGAACTGAGTCCCAGAAGAAGGATTTTCCCTGACAGTCTTCGGTTAGAACAGTTAGCTAGATGAGGAGCTGAGGCTGGAACCCAAACAGTAGTGACCGTTATTCATAAAATTGGAACATATTTGACATGTTGTTTAACAATTGCCTGAAACCTATAATTTTTCAGACCTTTTGATGTTGTCCCATGGATCTCTGTCTCCTCATTTTATTGCCAAAGTTTTTTCCTTTCTTTCTTTTTATGGTTGGATAACTTCTGTTGATCTATCTTCAAGTTTACTGACTCTTTCCAGTGTTACTTCGATTCTGCTGTTAAGCCCATCTGGTACATTTGGAGCTTTCCTGGTGGCTTAGTGGTAAAGAATCTGCCTGCCAATACAGGAGACATGGATTCGATCCCTGGGTCGGGAAGATCCCCTGGAGAAGGAAGTGGCAACCCACTCTAGCATTCTTGCTTGGGAAATCCCATGGACAAGGGGCCTGGCAGGCTATAGTCCACAGGATCACAAAGAGTTGGACACGATTGAGCAACTAAACAACCCCATGGACTATAGCCTCTATCCAGAATTCTGCAGGTGAAAAAGTATTTGGATTGGAAATTAAGAAATTTGATTTCTAATCTTCACTCTTTAATCTTTTTATGTGATTTTTGAAATTTGTTTTATCTCTTTGGAGTTCAGTCCTTTTATACAGTGAGAGAGATGAACTGAGTGATCTGTGTAATCTGTTTATCTGAGTAATAGAACATTTAGTTCAGTATTAATGGTTAATGTTGAGATGTTCTAGATAATGTTCAATCTAGTTGACAGACCAAATAATATAATATATAATGTTAGTAAAACCAGACTACAGCATTCTTTCCTAAATCCAGTTGTGAACACACCTTTTTCAGTTTAAAAACTTAATTGAGGGACTTCCTGTTCTAGGTCAAGCTACCTTTTAATCAAACTGGTAAATGTTTTCAGCAGTTAACAGTGATAAGTTATGTACTACCTAGAGCAACCACTCAAAAGTCTTCTTAAAGAGAAGAATCTGCCTGCAACGCAGGAGAGCCGGGTTTGATCCCTGGCTTGGGAAGCTCCCCTGGAGAAGGGAATGGCTACCCACTCCAGTATTCTTGCCTGGAGAACTCCATAAACAGAGGAGCCTGACGGGCTACAGTCCATGGGTTCTCAAAGAGACAGACACAACTGAGTGACTAACATAAGGCCCTGATGGTGACTGAGAAAAATATCTCAGAAGGTCAGATAATATATGCTTTTATGTATATAATCCTTTAATGACAAAATTATAGAACTAGAAAACAGATTAGTGGATGCCATGAATTAGGGATGGTGGAGGGAGGAGAGTGGATGTGATTAAAGGGAAGCCTGAGAGAGATCCTTTTGGTAATGGAATAGTTCTGTATCTTGAGTGTGCTGGTGGTTTCATAAATCTATTCATGATAAAATTTATCCATGGCAAGAACTATACATGTTAGTTAATAATAATGTTAGTTTACTGTTATTACATTGAATTATAGTTGTGAAAGATGTAAACATTTGGGGAAACTGGATAAAGGGTATGCAGGAACTTTCTACATTATTTTTGCAGCTCTCTGGGAATCTTTATTTTAAAATCAACAGTTAAAAAACAAAACAAAACAACCTTCTTATCTGGATACAGTGCATATAAAATACAAGTGTTTTTAAGTATATAACCTGATGATTATTTCAAAATTTGAGCACACCTGTAAGCCAGCATTCAGGTTAAGAAACTGTTTTCAGTTTATTTTTATTTGTCTTATGAATTTAGGTAGAAATATCATGTCATAAGTAATCAGAACTAAAATTTTAACAAGAAGATGTCCTGTAATTAACAAGCCCATTATAAATTCTTAATAAATATTGAACTGCAACACGAATTTCATCAGTGTTACTTACCTTGCTCAGTGTTTCATTCTGTGAGAAGTAGAACTTTTATTCTGTGAGGATCTCATCCTTGAAGTTCAGGAGTAGAAAAGCAAAAACATCAAAATGCTCTTTGAAGCCTCTCTGAATCACAACAGCTAACATTTGGTTGACAAAGCAAGTCACATGGCAGAATTTGGAATCATTGGTCAGGATAGGTATTTTACCTCTTAAGGACAAGCATACAAGAAAAGGTAAATAATTGAGGTCATGAATACAATCTAGCCAGAGGGATTGTATTAATACTATTGTGATGTATTTTCACTTACTGTATAACTAGCTTTAAAAAACATATTTAGGTAATATAATTTTAAAATTTTAAAATTACTTTTTGGAAGAAAGGACTATATGGTTTTTCTGTTAAGTTCTTCCTAAGTAATTGCCTTGTTTTCTTTGTAGTTGCTCTTATTTACAAAGCTGTGCATAGTAAGCAATCTTGACTAATGGTTGAACAAGTTTTTAGAAAGTCTTAAAATATGATCTAACTCCCACATGTGTGTACGCTGGGTCACTCAGTCATGTCCATTTATTTGCAACGCCATGGACTGTAACCCATAAGGATCCTCTGTCCGTGGAATTTTCTAGGTGAGAATACTGGAGTGGGTTGCCATTTCCTACTCCAGTAGATTTTCCCAGCCTAGGGATTGAACCCGTATCTTCTGCATTTCCTGCTCCCACATTTAGTAGTTATTAATTTGAGAGACATGCTTATTAAAATGTTCTTATGCTTTTTGTAAACTGTAATTAGTAACTGTGTGTTTCTACGATACTAGTAACATAATTCAAATAAGAAAAGAAATGCTAAAATTTAAATGATAGCTTTTTGACTGTCAGTGTATGAATCTGCAGGATTCTTGACTTTTAGTCTTTTAACTGATTCTTGAGAATTATATCTATAAGTAATTTATAGTGTAGGTATTAATCACAGTAATGATTCATCATATGTACATGACTATATTCATGAATCTAACAAGAAAGATAGTAATTGTGTCTAAGTTCATGTAAATATTTTGGTAAAATTTTAAGTTAAGAAAATAAAACCACAGATACTTTAATGAAACAAAGTTTCAGTTTTCATCTTTTTTTTTTCTCACTCTTTGGTATTCTTAATCTCTCAATGCCCCTCTTGATCTTTCAGTGCTCCAACTTCAGTGTTCTTTTATTCCTCTATGCTACCTCACAATTTCTTTTTCCCAGAATAGAGAAGTAATAG